TCCGGTCATTGGTTTATACAGATGGTATCTTCTACTTTATTAACCAGAATTGAATGTAAATATTTGTGATATATTGAAATGTGATTCATTTGCCTATAGTCTAGTACCTAGATATTGTATATAGCCCCTATTATAAGAAAATTGTGGTGCGAAGAAAATTTAGAATTTGTTTTTTACTTTTATTGTACATACTTGTTTAAAAATAAAACTCTTCTAGAAATTATAAAGGGTTAAATATAAGATGTTGTGAAAGTGATGATTCTATTGATATGAGATTACATGAGCTTTATACAGAGACAATTGAGCTATACAAGGCAACATAATATTTACACAATAATGAGAATAATTTGACAGAGATGATTGTGGTCAATCATATATGTTAGCTTGATTTGCATATCCTTAATACGCCCCCTCAAGATGGAGGGACTAAGGTGACTCCAATCTTGTTGCGCAGATAGTGAAATGTTGCTCGAGATAGAGGTTTGGTGAGTGCATCCGCTAGCTGATCTTTGGTGGAAACATGTGAGACTCGTAGTATACCGGATTGAATTAACTCTCGGATGAAGTGATAGTCAATCGCAATGTGCTTCATTCTTGAATGAAAAACTGGATTTGCACACAAATAAGTAGCACCAATGTTATCGCAGTATATTGACGGAGCAGCATGGAGCTTGAGACCAAGTTCAGAAAGTAGTGATTGTATCCAAATGAGTTCTGAAGCAGCATTTGCTACCGCTCTATATTCTGCTTCTGTGGATGATCTAGCGACACCTTTCTGTTTCTTCGAGGACCAAGATATTGGCTGTCCTCCAAGGTAGATGATATAAGCATTCGTTGAGACACAGTCAGCTACATCCCCTGCCCAGTCAGCATCAGAAAATCCATGAAGGCTGAGAGGATTACCTTTGCGAAAGTAGAGTCCGTAGGAACTTGTTCCAGCAAGGTAACGCAGCACTCTTTTAGCTGCTTGCCAATGATCAACCGTTGGGGAGTGCATGAACTGGGATAGACGATTTACAGCGTATGCAATATCCGGTCTAGTAAACGCTAGATATTGAAGACTGCCAACCAATGTTCTATATTCAGTGGGATTAGAGTAAGCTTCACCGGCCAATGTGAGCTTCGGAGAAGTCGCCATTGGTGTTGTAACTGGTTTGGCGTCTTGCATGTTCATCTTCGTTAACAGGTCTAAGACGTATTTTCGCTAATTTAGATGCAGTCCAGCCTCTGTTCTTATAGCCTCAATGCCAAGAAAATATGAAATTTCTCCCATGTCTTTGACTGAGAAACGAGACCCGAGATTCTGTAAAACGCTTTCAACAGCCTTTGCATTGTTACCTGTGACAATGATGTCGTCTACATATACCAATACATAGACCAGCAGCTTGTCTCGATTGAGAACAAATAAAGATGTATCTGAAAGAGAATTGTGGAATCCAGCGCTTACAAGGTATTTCTTGAGCTCCAAGTACCAAGCTCTAGGTGCTTGTTTGAGTCCGTATAGCGCTTTCTTCAGATGACAAACATATGATGGGCGATCGGGATCCACAAATCCTTGCGGCTGCGAGACATAAACATCTTCAATAAGTCTTCCTTGAAGAAACGCGTTATTGACGTCAACTTGACGAATTGGCCATGAGAGTGAAACAGCAACATCTAGGACGATTCGGATTGTAGTACTCTTAATAACTGGACTGAATGTCTCTTGGAAATCGATTCCTTGTTGTTGATTGTAGCCCTTAGCAACCAGCCGTGATTTGTATTTATCGACACTACCATCGGGAAGAAACTTAGTCCGAAATATCCACTTGGTGTCGATGACATTGTAGGATGGATGCGGAGGGACGAGATCCCATGTTTGGTGACGAATTTGTGAGTTAAATTCATCAGACATGGAATTTCGCCATCTTGAATCACGGAGAGCTTGAGCCACTGTTCTAGGTTCGTCATTGGATGCGGAGACAACCGTAGAGGTGAGACCAAATTTTGGATTTGGTTTAACAATCTGATTCTTCGCTCGGGTTCGCATTGGGTGATGATTCTGGGGTTGATTTTGCGGATTTGATTGTTGTTGTGAAGCAGGAACCGGCTGAATCAATTGCTCAGGTGAAGAAGATGTCGACGTTGTCTGCGTTTCTTTAGAGCTTGAGTTTTGGGCCGAAGAAGATGACATGTGAGGACTTTGAGAATGGGCCTCTGTTTGTGATGGACTCTGTTGGGCCTGTTGTGAGAGATTTGTTGATGTTGGTGAGAGCCCATTGGAGGATTGAATGTTTGAATTGTTGTCGAGATTGACAGCAGAGCCGGAACCGTTGACAGACTCCCGTGGTGTTGTCGGAGCAGCTGAGTCATCGGCGTTGGAATTTTCCGACGGTCCCGACGGTGGTGAAGAGTCGGAGCTCAAAGGAGCCATTGTTGACTCCAAGGACTGTGGCGGAGCTTCTGTGAATGGCGGAGATGATAATTTGATAGTGGTATGAGATGGAGCTGAAGAAGATGGTGACTGTGAGTCATCAACAGAATTTGAGAGAGTTATTGAAAGGGATTTGAAAGGAAATTTGGTTTCATCAAAGATAACATGACGAGAGACATAGATTCGATGAGATTGTGGTTCTAGACAAAGATATGCACTTTGAGTTAGGGAGTAGCCTAAGAAGACACAGGGAAGCGATTTAGGTTGGAGTTTGTGAGAGTTATACGGCTTAAGCCATGGAAAACAGAGGGATCCGAAAACTTTGAGTTTGTTGTAGTTTGGTGTTTGAGCAAAAAGTTTGTGATAAGGTGATTGAAAAGAGAGAATTGGAGTGGGCATTCGGTTTATGAGAAATACTGCAGCAGCAAAGGCATACGACCAGTAGGTCGTTGGGATTTGAGAGTGAGTAAGAAGAGATAGACCCGTTTCGACAATGTGTCGATGTCGCCTTTCGGCGAGGCCATTATGCTCGGGAGTGTGAGGAGGAGAAGTAAGATGACTTATACCATGAGTGGATAGAAAAGATTTAAGAGCTATAAACTCTCCTCCATTGTCAGAGAAGAGAGTTCCAATTTTTGAGGAGAAGCGATTTTCAACGAGAGGTTTGAATTTGATAAATGTGTCACGGACTTGTGATTTTTGAGTGAGAGGGTATAGCCAAGTATATCTTGTGTAGTGGTCTACGATGATGAGATAGTATTTGAAGTTATCTATAGAAAGAATGGGAGATGTCCAAACATCGGAGAATAGATATTCAAGAGGACGAGTAGAAACTATGGAAGATTGAGAGAAAGAAAGCTTATGACTTTTATTAGTTAAGCAATCACTGCAAGAGAGTGGCTTTGACAGAGAATCAGAAATAGGTAAATGAAAACTTGAAACAATCTTTTGTAAAATAGAAAGTGATGGATGGCCAAGCCTAGAGTGCCATGTAGAAGCATCTGATTTGAGATTGGTGGTGGAGGTTGCGAAAACAGAAGCTTGAGAAGATGGAATTGGCCATTCATAGAGCTCATTTTTAGTACGTCCCTGGAGTAACGGGGCCCCCGTGCTCAGATCCTTCACCTGAAAGGAAGCCGGAAAGAATTCGACCGAAACACGGTTAGCATTGCATAGCTTATATACTGAGATAAGGTTCTTTTTAATATCAGGAACATAAAGAACATCAGTAAGAGAGAAAGGTCGAGTTTTAGAAGAGAGACAAGCCGAACCAGTGTGAGTGATGGGAAGACCCTTTCCATCACCGATTACCACTTCTTCTCCGCCATTGTATGGCTGATGAAGACTGAGATTAGTCAGGTCAGAAGAGATATGGTGGGTAGCCGCAGAATCAAGGAGCCATGGATTGGTGGTGGCCGGATTTGCAGCAGTGAAGTGAGCTCTTGGCTGCCAGGCTGTAGGAGACGGTGAGTTCTGTGGCTGAGCATATGGCTGCATAGACAACTGAGTGCAGCGCCTTGCACTGTGACCATAGACTCCACATATCTGACAACGTCCCTGATAAGGACGAGGCCCCTTGAAGTCATTGGATTGACGTTGTTGAGGCTGCCAGGAGTTGTTGCGCTGGTTGGACTTGTTTTGAGGCTTGTAATTGTTGTTGCGGTAGTGAGTAGCAGCAGTGTTGGCTGTCACCGGTGTTGGAAGAATGGGTTGTGCGGACAGAAGCTTGGACTCATGATTGATAAGCTTCTCGTGAAGCTCAGTCAGAGTTGGTGGAGTGTCACGGCCTTCCACTTGGTCTGTGATGGATTTGTATTCTTCAGGCAGTCCTTGAAGAATCATCTCCACTTGATCTTCATGGTCAAGGGCTTTTCCCAGCAAAGCAAGCTCATCGAAGCGGGTGACAAGACCTTGAACATAGGCATCAATCGTTTTGTTGTCTTTCTTCCAGTTGTTGACTTGAATCTTGAGTTGACGTATGTGACCGCGGCTTGGCTTAGCATAGGTGGAGGCAAGTTTGGTCCATATCTCAGCAGCAGAGTTGGCCCGAGAGAGGAGCGGCTGGATGGAGACAGAGATAGCACCAATAAGAGCGCTATAAATGAGTTTGTCTTGTCGGGTACAATGCACAAACTCTGGATTTTGGGAGATGACACCATTGACAGTGACTGTGGCTGCGGGAAAAGCCTTGGATCCATCGAGATAGGCAGCAAGATCATACCCATCGAAGAGAGCATGGACTTGCTTGCTCCACCACTACAAGAAAACACGTCATTAGCGACGTTATTCAGCGACTGATAAATTAGTCGCTGAATTTGAGGACTGAATTGCGACATTTAGGCGACTGAATGTTGCCTAAACAAGATTAGTCGCTAATCCGTCTGCATTTGGCGACGGATAACAATAGTCGTTGTATAGTCGCCAAATTAGGCGACTAAGTAGCTTCTGAATATTTAGTCTATAAACTGGGCTACTAATTAGCCACTTTATAGCGACTATAATTTCTAATTGGGCCTTTTAATTGGTCTCGGTCCATTAGATTTACTGCGTTGGCCCATAGTATAAATTCCCTATTTCTAACCGAGGAAACCCTAATTCCGCATTTCTCTAACCCTAGATCCCTAATTCTCTCTATCTCGACGAACCCTAACCCTAACCCTGCAATTTCTCTCCAATTCTCTACAAATCTACTTCTTTTAGGTCTAATCGATGGCTCCTCGTGTTCGCGGTGGAAGAGGAAGCGGAAGAGGGAAGAGGGGACCGAAGTCTCCGGTGAAGCGACCCACTGTCGTCCCTACTCGACCCACATCTTCCGGTGTGTCGAGTCGAAGACCAAGGAGCCTTCCGTCGCAGTATGAGTTCACGCCGGCGAACCCTGAAGATCCAAATCATGGGACTGAGCATCCGCCGAATCGTCAGCCTTCACCGCAACTGAGTCTAAGAGACTATCCACCTCCGCTGCAGCTTTTCCAGTCGGGCGAAGGATCTCAGCATGCAGCTGGTGGATCTCCTCGGGGCTCTGGAACGACTCCGTTTCGAGCATCTGTCTCCTCTGTTCATCGTTTAGCATCCGGATCTCCCCGTGCCTCTCAGTCTCCAGCGCCGGTTCCTTCTCCAGTGGTTAATAAACAACGACCACCAAGAGCCTCTCTGTCTGGTCACAGTTCTCAAGCTCAGAACGTTGAAGAAGAAGAAGCTGCATCGGATGAAGAAGCTGATGATGAAACTACATCAGAGGATGAAGGTTTGAGGGATTCAACACTCCCAGAAGATGTCTTCGCGACTTTACATGATACGCTTCTCATCCCAGGCCGTGAGCTCTATACTACTCTCATCTCTCCGACTTTAGAGCCTGGGACGACATGGTAAGGATTCTGAATGTTTATAGGATTGTTTGTATAGAATTGTGTATAGGATTGTCTAGAATTGTGTATAGGATTAGGTATGGTTTAGGTCTGTTTGTGTTAAGGTATGGTTTGTGTATAGGTTTAGGTATGGTTCAGGTCTGTTTGTGTATAGGTTCTGGTTCTTGTTTAGGGTTTAGGTATGGTTCTGGTTCTTGTTTAGGGTTTAGGTATGGTTCTGTTTAGGTATAGTTTGTGAAGAGGTTTAGGTCTGTTTGTATTCTTGTGTATAGATTGTAAGTTTGTTTAGGTATAGTTTGTATTCTTGTGTTGTATTCTTCTGTTTGTATTCTTGTGTATAGATTGTAAGTTTGTTTAGGTATAGTTTGTATTCTTGTGTTGTATTCTTCTGTTTGTATTCTTGTGTATAGATTGTAAGTTTGTTTATTTGATTGTAGGTTTGGTAAGGATAAGGGTAAGCTGACCCGGAAGGTCACCAAGTGTTTTACTAACAAGTTTGATGGACCATACTACAATTGGAGTTGTGTTCCAACTGGAAGAAGAGAAAGATACTTTCTTGAATTCGCTGTAAGCTTCTATCCCTCTTCTACTACTGTATTTTTATATTGTATTTTGATAACTAACATCTGCTTCACTGTCCTCTTGTTTTGGTAGAAAACACACACCTGGCATCCCTCAGTTACAGGTGTGGTTGAAGCCAAGTTCTACAAGATCATTGCACTGCGTATGAAAGACATGGTTAGTAAGGCAGGGTCAAAAAACCCAAGAGTGAGGCCGTATTGGATTGAGAAAACTCTGTGGAGAGAGATGTGTAAGTATTGGGATACTGAAGAAGCCCAAGCCAAGAGTTCAACCACATCAGCAGCTAGGATGTCTGACCGTAATGGTCTTGGTCCTCACAAGCATGTTTCTGGTCCAAAGTCCTTTTTACAAGTGGAGCAAGAGATGGTAAGTTACATGTCTGTTTTAAATACTTGTTTTGTTTATTACTTGCTGACTGTTACTATATTTCAGGAAGTTGAATTGGGAAGACCTCCTACTATTGGAGAAGTGTTCATTAGAACTCATACCAAGAAGGATGGGACATTTGTGGATAGGAAGGCGCAGGAAATCCATCAGGCATATCTCAAGAACAAGGCAGCTAAGTTGGCTGCCCTGCAAGAGAATGATGAACATGATGATGGTAATTCGGGTCAGTCTGAGCTGTCTCAGGAGGAGGATGATGAGATATTTCTTCAGGTAGTAGTCTTGTCTTTTGCTCTGTAGTCTACTTTTATCTGTTAAGCACTAATGTTTTTACTTTGTTTTGCAGTCTACTGTCACAAATGATAGAGGGGATTACTTTGGAATTGGCAGCTTAGGGGTTTACATCAACGGGAAGCGCAAGTACGCAGGAAGCAGTTCTTCTTTCACAACCCTGCAGTCACAGCTTGAGGATGCTAACCGCAAGATAGAGGAACAAGCAGCTCTACAAGCAGCACGTGAAGCAGAGGCATTGCGGGTCGCAGCATCACAAGCAGCTGAGATCAAGCATTTGTCGATGGTGAAGAAGTACCTGAGTGAAACTGACCCTAATTTCCTGGCCTTCCTCAATTCCCAATCAACTCCTGCTGCGGATGATCATTCAGAGGTCCAACCAAATCCAACTCCTGCTGCTAATGCTGATGGTACTACTCCTGCTACTTAGCTTTCTCTCCTCTTAACTCAAAAACTTGAACTTGATCTTTTGGTCTTGTACTTATGGTACAAGTATGTTTGTATTTATGTCTTGTGAACTTGATATTTTGGACTTGTACTTTTGGTCTTGTGAACTTGTATGTTTTTATGTTTATTAAGAACTTGTATGTTTTGTATGTTTGGTTTTAATTAGTAAATGCAAACGTAATTAGAATCAAAATAAGCAGGCAAAATCCAAAAATAAACCTCCAATAAGTCGCAAAACGATAGCCATTCAGTCACTAAAACATTCATAAAACAGTCGCCTTGTAGTGTCTTTTTGGCAATTCCACAGTCACCTATTAGTCGCCACACTAGTCGCCAAATAGTGACATATTAGTAGCATAACCGTCGCCAATTTAGCGACTCATACGCGACGTACAGGCGACTTCAAATAGTTGTCGCAGAATAGTCGCTATTTAGCGACTATTAGGCTACAATTTATTTTAGCGACGCAGTGTTCGGCGACAACGTTTATTAGTCGCTAATTAGTGGTTATTATGTGTTTAGCGACTCTTTAGTTACGTTTCTTGTAGTCGCTAAATCCATGTTTTCTTGTAGTGCACATAAGGTAGTTGGAGGCGGTGAGTTTAGTAACATTTGACATGTTGACATGGAGAAGAGAATCAGTGTTTGTGGAGATGGTTTCGAAGGAAGCGTTCACGCCTGTGGTGGATGTGGACATGGTGAGTTTGACCGGAACAGAGAATTAAAAACAGAGGAGATTTGAAGAAAGAAGGAACGGCGGCCAAGGAGAAAAAAAAAATTTTTAGGTCTAGGTATCTAGAGCTCTGATACCATATAAGATGTTGTGAAAGTGATGATTCTATTGATATGAGATTACATGAGCTTTATACAGAGACAATTGAGCTATACAAGGCAACATAATATTTACACAATAATGAGAATAATTTGACAGAGATGATTGTGGTCAATCATATATGTTAGCTTGATTTGCATATCCTTAATATTAAATAATTCAATATCTATTAATTCTAAAATGGGTGACACATTGGGAGTGATTATATATATATATATATATGATTGGTTCATATGCTAGTAATTAAAAAAAAAAAACAACAACAACAAGCAAATATCTTATAGAATGATCAGTCAAAAAATCTTCCAAAATCTTTATAATAGCTCTTGGCCACCTGGAAAAATAATTTCTCGATCGTGTCGAGAATTGGTCGTTAAATGTGAGTCACGAGTAAAAGATGGAGAATCCATTACATTTACGTTATCTAATAGTAACTTAAGAAAAAGTCCAGTTTGTAAAACCCAAAAAAAAAGATTCCAGTTTGGTTTATAGATAGTTGTGTTGGTTTGCTAAGATCACATAGTTTTGTATATTATACGAGGAAACAGTGGAATGAAAAAATAAAAAAATGGTTTAGTAAATTTAGATTTGGTTTTTAAAAACCGTACCAAGCTAGGTTCAAGTTTGTTGTGGATGGTGATTCTTTTACTAATGCTAATTCCAACATACTTCATTGGCTCATTGCATCTACATGTTAAAACAAAAAAAATGTTCTTTATAGAAATAATAGCTCATTAATTGGTGAATGAAAATTTTCCTTAGAAAAAACTTCAGTTTTCAAAAAAACATACTAAAATGTATAAATTTCAAACGCCCAAAACCAACGGCTCTCCTTTTCTTTATGTTTAAAATTAGGGAAAATGTTTGCTAGCTACGCGAAAGATACGCCATCACATAGTCACACATGCAAACTTTAAAAATGTCTCGTTAACTACACGAAGTATTGACATTACATACGGACATCCCCGAACTAACATAAGTCATGTTGCAAACACCATAACCATCTAATTCCAGTGATTCAGTTGCCGGAATCCGGCATTGACCAGCATTGACCGGCGTTGACCGATGTTGACCAAAAAAAATTTCAAAATCTTTTTTTTGCTTTTTATTTATTTATCTATTTTTGATATAAAAAATTATTAAAAAATTATTACATAATTTTACTTAAAAATATACCAAAAGATAATATAACAAAATAAACCACAAAAAAATTATACAACAAAATTTTGGTATATATTTTTGTAATATACCACAAAATAGTCCATAAATTTTATTTTGTGCTATATTTATTTATAAAATTTTGGTATAATATACCAAAAAGTATATTTTGTTATATGACCAAAATTTTATAAGAAAATATAGCATAAGAAATATTTTATTAATAAAATTTTGGTAATATAACAAATATATACATTTTCCTTTTGGCAATCATTTTTTTACCTCAAAAATAGCTTTTGTTAATATTTTTCTTCTCGGTTATTCGTTGTTGAATACCACAAAAAAAAATTCCAAAAGAAAAATGTATATTTTGTTAATAAAATTTTGGTAATATAGCAAAATATACATTTTCTTTTTGACAATCATTTTTACCACAAAATAATATTTTTTCCTTCTCGGTTGTTCGACGTTGAATACCACAAAAAATAATTTTCAAAAAAAAATGTGTATTTTTTTATATTACCAAAATTTTATAAATAAATATAGGAAAAAATAAAATTTATGGACTATTTTGTGGTATATTTAGTTATATTACAAAAGTATCTACCAAAATTTTTGTTGTATATTTTGCTATATTATTTGTGGTATATTTAATTTATATTTTTAAGTAATTTAAATTATTTTTATCAAAAATAAATAAATGAATAAAAAGAAAAATATATATATATTTTTGAAAATATTTTTTGTCAACGCCGGTCAACATCGGTCAACGCCGGTCAATGTTGGTCAATGCCGGATTCCGGCAACAGAATCACTGGAATTTGATGGTTATGGTGTTTGCAACATGACTTATGATAGTTCGGGGATGTCCGTATGTAATGTCAATACTTCGTGTAGCTAACGAGACATTTTTAAAGTCTGCATGTGTGACTATGTGATGGTATATCTTTCGCGTAGCTGGCAAACATTTTCCCTTAAAATTATGATTTCATTGGAAGAAATCCTATTATGATAGGCAAACGCAAAAACAAATGTTAAAAGCAAACAAGGCCTCTAGTGAATTCAGTTGAATTATCAAATATTGTATGCGTACTAAATAGATGGGCCTATCAGTTAGGAAAGAGATAATGGACTTAGAGTTGGATTAGCATGGGCTGATAATAAATTGATAAAGTAAAGTTAATGAAGAGTTAAGTGGAATCAAAGATTGTTTGTTTTTTTGTTAGAGGGTTTTTTTTTCTAGGAAATTTCCAAACGAACAATTAATAAAATGAAATTACCTTTTTTTCTTTTTAGAATATAAAACTTAACCGGGAATCCCGAGTTGCAATTGAGTCCGGTTAGAATTACAATTAGGTTAAACGAGAAGCACAAAACCGGCCTAAACCAGACGAGAAAGAGTGGCTGCAGAACAGTCTTAGAAACCAAACATAATGGCCCCAATAACAATGATCTAACATTTAACTGTAAGAACTACATTATTTGAGGTGAATTCCTCAATTACCACGATAATAAATTCAAGACATAATGATGTAACATGCTTGAAGCCTACACATCTAAACATGCTTGTAGGCCGATCTATTAAAACACGCATACCAAAGCGGGTTAGTTCATTTGGGTTAGTTCATTTAGGTATGCATGTTTTAATAGATCGGCCCTATTTATTTATTTGTCTAATTTTGCTTTTCCAAAACAAGTCGTTTTGGGGAATGATTCTTCTTTATTCTTTTCCAAGATTTGTTTACAGAGAAGCATGATCGTTTAGACATACATAGCTTCATGATTAATGACATATTGAACCGTGTTAGTTGTCATTTTTTCGTTTTACGGTCGTTGGTTTGCGACAATTTTTAGTGATAAATTTCAGCAGATAACTACTAATTAAATTTTCTAATTATTACAACGTTTCGAATTTTGAATCAACGATCAATCTTTTGTCGGATTTGTTGTCACCATTGACTACCAAACATACACCTTGTAATGGTTGATCGTTCGCTATTGTAGAAAAAAACTAAAGTAACCAATTATGGTTGCTATCACTAAAAATCATGAAACAAACATGGCTTGACGAAATATTATGGGTCTGAATGGTGCAATACTTTTTAAAAAATTACATCTAAATTTTGTAGGACCCTTATATATAGAATGCTTATTCTTCCAACAATTTGAAGTAGGAGCTATTCTTCCGACAAAAAAAAAAAAACTGTTTTTGACAAAAAAAAAAGTTAATTACTCTTTTTCTATAAGTCTAGAAGAATTGGTGGACGTACGATTTTTTGGTTTGCTTTTGGTTTTACGATTTTTCTGTTTTACAAAAAATGAAACCATATATAAACCGTATGTAATTGGTTTGGTAACGGTTCGGTTTTTACGGTTTTATAAAAATTGAAATCATATAAAAACTATATGTATCTTGGTTCGTTTTGGTTTCGTTTTTTAACCGTAAACCGAAAACTTTTTTTTTTTTTTTGTCGTCAAAGAAAGTTGTATTAAAATAGAATATGTTCGTGCACCAAATAAAACAGAGCATTAAAAGCCTCAAAAAAACAGAGCAACATTGCTCAAAAGGAGAAAGAAATTAAACTTGCAAATTTGTAAACTGATGAAGCTTTATCTTCGTTTATCTTCTTCTATACGCGAGTGCAGCCATGCCGGACCTCCAAAGGCAAGGTATGATCTGAGACGTCCATCGCGAGTAACACTCTTAGCAATATCTCTTGCAATTGAATTCGCTTTTGGAGACGATAGCTTAGAGAACACTTTACGAAAACCCGGGAGAAGGCGAGAAATCTTATTTCGTCAGGGATTTTCTTTTCTTATATAGTAATACCCCCAGTTGCACCGGTCAAACCGTGAAACACTCCAATTTTGAGATTTTATAGAAGCAAATTGATTTGAAATAGTTGGTCAAAGCCGAGGATACTGGATAACATATTTGATTATTGTAGGACCTTTATAATGATTATAGTTACAGATCTTGAACTTTTAGTATATATCATTCTTAAGTTCGTCACTGTTAATTGTTAAATGGAAAGAATCTGACCAAGTCCATGTTATGTGGAGTACAAGTATATAGTATGATTTAATCGTATTGTTTGTTTTCTCATGCAAATGGGATTTGTAAAATACTAAGTTCTTATGTTTTTTGACCAAATTCAGTTAACCATTCTGGATAATGGATAAAGCTATCAAACCACATCAGCATTATAGTCGATGAACAGTAATAGTTCAGAGTATTTACATAGCTTATACCTTTTTCATCTATTTTATATTTCATTTAGTTTATTTTAAATCTATGCTTTTTGATATGTCCCCCAGCAAAATATTGACCATTTGGCCCACCATCTTAAAAACAAATAATCTTTTCTGTTTTGTTCTGCAATTCGCCGACGTTCAAATAAACACGTGCTGAAATAAATTTTGCATACCCTTTTTAATGCTTATATGATGTTTCATGTATCAATTTGGCAATTTACAAGTAAATGTTATGTAATCTAAAAAATGAAACTAATTTATTAAGATATGCTAATATGTTGATTGATGAAGTTTTAATATAAAACTTTTTAAAAGTGAAAATTTATATCAACAATATTTAAATCTAAACTTTTTAAAAACTTATAATTAAAGACAATTTTGAAAATACCACACTTAAGTTTTGGCTTTCCAAAAATACAACCATGTTCGAAAAATATCATTTAAGTTTTGATTTTCCAAAAATACCAGAAAACTAAATTAAACTACCTCAAAATGGAAAATCTAGTCCATAGCTACCTCAAAATCATAAATTAAAAATAGGAAAAATAGCACAAAATTCTAGAAGTTGCCACCTAATCGAAAGGAAGTCAAGTCACGATTTTCACTACCTGATCATCTTTTTCAGTTGTGGTCTATTTAAAACAAAAACATTTTAACTTATACTCTATTATTATATTTAGCCATTTAGGTGGCTCCTGATTAGTGATTACAAAAATAAAATATACTACTATATAGGTCGCTCCTTAATACTCATAGACTCATCTATTACAGAACAAAAAAAAAAAGAACTGTCTTTGTATATTGCTATGATTAATTGATTATGACCATCTTACACTATTTGTAGGTGCAAAATTCTTATTATGCTAACTTAAAACATGTTTGAATACTCTAACAACACATGCTTAAAGACTATCCTCCTAAATAAGAAAAATGAGAGTTTTCTTACTAGTTGAATAAGAAGAGGCAAAGACTTTTACACTAACTTGAAATTGAAAAATTCAAGTATCACAAAAATAAATACAAACTGTTTTCGATGTTTCTCAATAGAATCAAATATTTAAGCAAAATTACAAAAAAACAAAAAACATATTAGGGGTAAAATTAATCAACCACTACAAACTTAAGGTCCCTAACACAAATCCTAATCTTTCACCAAGTCCCACTATTTTCAGAAGAACCCAAAAGCTCCTCAAGGTACTGTTCTCCCAAATCCTCAAAGACAACAACATTATCTAACTTCACGGACCGGTGATCAAAGTCACTGTCTTTCGTCTTCTTATTGGTCATTCTTCGTCTCATCGAGTGTTTTCTCTTCAACGCCACAACCGGAGAACAACCATCCTCGTAGGTATACTTCATCTCCGAAAGCGACTCTTGAACTCTCTCCGGCGAAAAATTGAGAATCGCCGAAGAACCTCTCATCGAGAAAGCGGCTTGATCATAAGCGAGAGCCGCCTCTTCCGCGCTTTCGAACGTCCCGAGCCAAACCCGAATACCTTTTCGAGTCGAATCTCTTATCTCCGCCGCGAATTTCCCCCATGGCCGTCGTCTTACACCTCTGTACGACTTCTCTGAGTTTCTTGAGCTTATGGATTTAACCGGAAGGTCTTGAAGATTCGATTCGATGAAGTTTCGTTGCGTGGATTGCTCGATTAGACCGTAGAGAAACATTTCTTCTGAGTCGTTCTCGTTGAAGGGAAGAGAGTAGTTGTTAGAAGAAGAGGAGGAGAAAGATTCCGGAGAAGATCCGGTAGAATATTCCGGTGAGAAGCTAGAGAACGGTGACTGAAGAAAAGATGGATCCATGTAGAAACCGAAGAAAAATGAAAATACTCTGTTTTTCTTATTACTCTGTTTTTTGACTACTCTGTTTTCGGTTAGAGGATCGTTAGTGGATTGACGAGGTCTATATATAGAGAGAAAAAAAGTGTATGTTGATGTGAAAATGTCCAAAATAGACATGATTTTTTTTACTGTCTTAAGTGAAAGACACACACATCATGAATGATAAGACTTTTTTTACATTACAATTAAAATTTAAGGTTGCTTCGTCGAAGGTTCGAGCAAAGACATTTTGCATTTTTTTTTTCTTCGTGTGATCTTTAATCAGTATTAGTAGTTCTTGACTTACATGAGATTATGTGAAAAATGTATATTGTATGTTTAGTTTTCATATTGAAGGGTAGATGTTTTTTAAACATCAAATCTAACGAATGAACAGTTTAGGTTAGGTGTATCATTTCGCCTTATATATCATCACATGATTCATCAAAATTTTGACACTTTTGCATCCATATATTATATATAATAGAAGAAGGTAAAATGTAAATTTGCTACAACCTATAAGACTAACAAGTGTTAAAATATCATAAATGTTTAGAAAATATTATATCATTGGCACTTTTACATAAGTTATCATTCGTATTTAGTAAGTATAATTATTTTAGTTTAAATGTAAAAGATTTAGATTGTTTTTCTTAACGGTTAAATATAAGAATCCTGCAACAACCAAAAAAAATGAACCACATATGAAAACAACAAAAACGTTATTACATTTTGTAAGTGAAAAATTGATGGTGCAAAAGTTTTTTTTTTTTTAAATCAAGATTATATATATATATCATAAATTTTATCGGGAAAAATATCATTAAAATCCCCAACTTATTCAAAACGTTGATTTAAATCTTCAACTCACGACGAAACGAAATAAATATCAAACTTATGTTGACTTTCCAAATAAATATTAAACTTATGTTGACTTTCCAAATAAACACCAAACTTTCATTGACTTGGCCATATTAGGCATGACGTTAAGTGAGTTAACAGACCCGCTAATCAAATCTCATCTAAGTCATATAACCTAAAGTCGTATTCATATAAGTTAGTTATTTACGTAAGAGTCACGAATGTACGTACGTATAGTTGTGTCTGTTCGTAAAGTTGTGTCTTTTCGATTAACACATGTACGTATACGTTGTTTCGTGTTGTATAAGTAGATCGAGTCAAACTCAATAACATCATTGTGTGTAATACATTTTCTCTTATCAATAAAGATCAAGTTTCTTCATACTCTTTCTTTCATTTTGGTTTTGTTCTTCATACTCTGTAAGAACAGAGTTCGTTTGTTGATCAAAACACTAACAAGTATTCCTTCTAAACATAAAACGACGTTGTTTTGTGTTAACTGTTCAATAAAATCCCGAGTTTCAAATCATACTCTATTTAGGGTTAGGGATTTTGCTCGATTTGGGGATCTAAGATTGACTTTAGGGATTTAATTCAATCGTTACGACAAAACGACGTCGTTTTGTTGTTATATGAAACAATGTCGTTATCAATTAACATATATGTTAACAGAAAATTACCTCCGTTAACGAGATCTATTAACTCACTTAACGTCGTACCTAATATGGCCAGGTCAACGGAAGTTTGATATTTATTTGGAAAGTCAACATAAGTTTGATATTTATTTGGAAAGTCAACATAAGTTTGATATTTATTTCATTTTGTCATGAGTTGAGGATTTAGTAACCCACTTAACGTCGTACCTAATATGGTCAGGTCAACGGAAGTTTGATATTTATTTGGAAAGTCAAAGAAAGTTTGGTGTTTATTTGGAAAGTCAACATAAGTTTAATATTTATTTGGAAAGTCAACATAAGTTTGATATTTATTTCGTTTCGTCATGAGTTGAAGATTTAAATCAACGTTTTGAATAAGTTGGGGATTTTAACGACATTTTTCCCAAATTTTATCATCCTTCCGAACACATTCAAATCAAATTGACTCTAGACGAAATTACGATAATGATTTTAGTAAAAACCAGTTGACTTTTGCTAGATCAATTTTTTCCCATGTATTAAGCCTCTATGTAGTAGAGACTGTAGAGTCCATATATCTTATCTAAAACTATTTTTTCGGAAGTTCGCATTCCACAAACAGAAATAACAAGATCGATGTGAAAATGATTAAGCCATATTCCAAAATAACTGCTGGATCAACTCAACTAGACAATTTTTATGCTTTGGCGTTACAAATATGATTACATAAATATCAAATCATTATCCTATAATCTTAGGAGGCTATTCTTAATTAATATTAAAAAATCATTTGGCCAAAAGCATGGTAAAAGAAAATTGTTGGTTGGAAGGAGTCAAGATACATGCCCCCTTGAAACCCAAACAACAAATAACTTCGAGCCATCTCATGTTTAGAAGATAATTTGGCTTTATTTGCTTTCAACGTCTTTCTCAAAGCAAAAAAGATACTTCATGTGCCATTTTTATCATTGTTTTTAGTTTTTTTTTTTCTTTTCTTTTTTTCTCTTATTTCTACTTATCCTATATTAGAAAAAAAAAACTATAAAATTTATTGTAAATTATAATCGAGTTAAAACTTTGAAATTATCCGAGTTACATTATCTTTAGGTAATCGACTTAGTTGATCAAATTTATTGTACTATTATAAAGCAAGATATAGATGTTTATCCAAGAATACTTCTGATAGTTACTCAATACAAGAAACTCCACACAAGTTAGACTTGGCATGAAAGAATATAAATGCAATGGATGCACAAATGTCATTGTGGTTATGCCTCGGCCAATTTGATCAAAAACTATTTTTTCATCACTGTTGGATATTTTTCTTCTTCTTTTTTTTTTTTTTTAAGTTTGAATCGATTGTCCTTGAATTCTTTAAAATCTAGTAAATTTATAATTATCCAAAAAATAACTTGTATTGCAAATGAACACTCCGATGGAAACATAATTTCGATTCCAAACAATCTCAATTTATATTTATACATATAAATTTATTTACTTTTTGAATAATATAGTAGGTGATATATGTGACAATGTCAAGTTTGAAACATATGAATTTTTATAATAAATAACAAGTTTATATATATATATACATATGTAGTAGTTGGTTTTGTCAACCTCGTCTATAATAATATCATGATCCCGAGTTGGCCACGCCAAGGTGAAGTAAAAAAATTCTACAAAGATAACAAAAGTTGGACGATATTTTCCTAGTTATTTCTCTTATATTTTCTGTTTTAGTAGTTTTTTTTTTTTGGTAAAAAAAAAAGTGGTTTCACCTCTTTGCCGGGAACCCAAGCATTGTAAATAGTTCCTCCCACCGTGAATCGAAACCAGGTGGCGGTAGTTACAGCTGCAACCCCTTTACCACTAGGCCAACTCAACGTTGGTTTAAAACTGTTACGGGTAAACTTTTTATAGTGACTGACCCCACCCCGAAAGGCCCCATATCCAGGAAAATCCTTTAATGCGTCATAGAAACCCGTGGGCCATCTACAACAGGATTTATTTGGAGAGGTTTCAGTTCCACCCCGCCGACAGAGAGTCGAACTCGCGACCTCTGGCAGTCGTGTGTGAGAAAGCCCATTGAAACCACTAGGCCATCAAGGACTTCTCATGTTTTAGTAGTTATTTTAACAAAAGTAGACTAGTCGAAAATAATAATTCGAACCGATATATAACCAAATTCTAAGAGAACACTACACATCATCACATGCATCCTGAGTCCAACAGGATACAAATTTATTTATTCTTTCTTATTGCTTTCCAAAATAAGTCACACTGATTTATTTGTTATCCCGCACGTGTTCAAAGTTTTTGGCTTTATTTTAAACTTCCAACATGGACGTTGTAACTTTTTTGGCTTTACTTTAAACATCATACATGTACAAAACGAATAAACCAATTGATTATAATATTCACATCAGAAAAGTAAACCCAAAAATAATTACGTTTTGATATCTGTGGGCTGTGGCTAAACGATTTCAATAAATTGACCCAAAAAAAAATTATTCGAATAATTACCAATACTTCATAGGAAAATAAACAAGTTTTTTCTCTAAAAACTCTACTAGATTTTCTATCTTCAATATTTACCCTCTATCAATGGAAGCTACAGAATTTCAATTCTCTTAGTGACTGAAAATTTAATATTGTCATAATTTATTTCCAAATTATTTGGAATGCTGACCTAAATCGATATATCTAATCATTAAATATGTTTCTATATATTAGAATTTGAAAAATTAATCTTCTTGAAATAAAATAATTAAGAACGTCTTTTATATTTGGAGAAAGAATTAAGAACGTCTTAAGGAATGGCAAAAATGTTATCTTAACACTAAACCAAAAAAGAAAGGCAAAAATATTTTATATAAAGATAGAAATAAGCAAATATAAAAAGAGTATTATTAGTCAAATCAAAAACGAAAGAAAACAAAGTCCAGTAAGCATTCAAATTTGACTAAGTTGTTAGGCGTAAGGCGATAGCTACACATTCATGGTACGTGGTCATATTATTTATATTTTTTATAGCCACAAATCATAAATGTTTATGATTTTATAGTCATATCAGGTAAAAAAAAATTGTATCTTCATAGTTTTCTTAAATTTTTGGGTGATTTAGGTGAATAACCCAAAAAAAAAGAAAAATTAGTTTTTTAGAAAGAAGGTAGAGAGAGATAGGAAGAGAAAGAGAGTGAATAGGGGGGTTAGAGGTTAGATATTTAATTTTGTTTTTTTTTAGGTTATCTAGTGCAATTTCTCTAAATTTTTTATGTATAATGGACAAAATTTTCTGAAGTACGCATATTATCCATTTGGATTTAAAACAAAATGAATTTCAGGACTCAAATCAATTTTTTTCCGAGGGAATCAAAAGTAGAGTCATGAGATCAATTCATTATAAGAAAATTTTCTTATAAAAAATAAAGAAACTAATTTTAACATGAACATAAAATTTTTGATTTAGTTGGCGGAAAAATTGATTTGTAGTGTGTGGTAGTTCGGTAGTTCTATTGAGCATCGACATTTCATGAAAATAGTAACAATCTCAAATGCATGTAATGATGTTTTGGGAAATGTTAGCCAATAATCAAATTTTTTTATCTTTTCTGAATATTCTATATACATGGCTAGTCCAACTTTTTAAGTGTACTAGGGTAAAAGCAAAATAATATTTTTTAAACTTAAAATAGTTTAATTAATATTTACAAAATAAGTAAATAACCATACGAATATTCTAGTTTTATTATCAAATGTAGATATTTGATTTACTTGCCACTCAATTTATAGTATCAGTACGTTAAAAAAATAAAGAAAACCGAATGGGCCCTGGCCCATGACTACGACTAGGCCCAGTATTTTGTCGATCTAAACAAACAAACAAACATGAATGTTCGTTAAACGTTTTTTTTCTTTCGTTTAACGGACATTCTTGAACTGCTGATGTCGGACGAATAGACCCAACTACTAACGTACCAACGTGATTGCAATTTGCTAAGTCAAATATTTTATTTATCTTAATGCTTTTCATCCGCTTTATATCATCATCTTTTTTAAAGGATAAATAAGAGATTCTAGGCATAGGACTGTACATTTTCTTAAACTAGACACTATAATATTTTATATGATCTCCTTTTAAACGTCATTTAAATCGATGATTTTTAAGTTTTGCCTAAAAATATTTACCAATTGATCTATTGACATTTGATTTTATATCATTATTTTAGTTACACTTTAGTATACTATAAGACTCGAAATTTAGAATAATATTTAATGAAAACGAATGGTGCAAGATGACCATTAAGATATACGTTTGTGTGACAAAGAGAATATATATAGAGATATTTTGATGTTACGAAGGGTATTTGTGAAAAAGTAAATTGATCACTATTTCTTCATTTATTGCAGGGAGTATAAGGGATGTTTTGATGTTACAATGTTTTTTTTTTTTTTTTGATGTTACAATGTTGGATGTTCTTGTCTACAAAGTGTACCTATAAATTTTCGTAGGCATTTACCAAAAAAAAAAAATAGTAGGTGAATATTCATGTTAAGTGTGAGTTGTTATTTTGAAAATTGTTTTTTTTTTTTAAATATGTTTATTGTTTTTGATGCTAGTTTATGTTATTATGTAGTTAGTAAAGTCAGATTCATTTTTGATTCGAAATATTAATTATATTTTTCATATATAAATATAATTATTTATAGACCTAAAATCTTAATTTTTTTACTATCATGAATACATACAATAATAATATAAAATATATTGATACAATGGTATATATTTTTATCCTAATTTGCTTGTCAAAATAACTGATCGAGTCTAAAGGCAATTTCTATAAAAGTGGTATCGTTTGACTAAGATCAGGTTTATATAATAATTTAAGTGTGTAATCTCTAAAAGAAACTTTATTACGACATTCCACATCGACCAAATTGCCAAATCTGAGTCATGTTTACAAAAGTGTTTTGCAAACAGTCATATTTTAAGAAACATAGATTTGACTAAGAATTGTTAAAAGTTACCATAAAAGAGTTGACTGTTTAGCTAAACACCAAACCCTCCAAGCTATTAGCTTATTATTATCTCATGTAAAAGATGTTTTTTCTAGATTTGTTTGAATGTTGATCTCTATTGAAAACAGATATAGGAATTTATTATGTGTTTTCGTTATGTTGTTACAATATTTTTACGATAATTTAATTTTTTTTGTGTTTGTAAATAGATATATCATGGTATAATTCACAATCTCATTAATAAATAAATATTTAAAAAAAAACTCTTACAATTGAACCAAAATTAAACGTCCGGTATATATTTATGTGTATTAAATTTGAAAATTTATTTAAAATCAGAATTTAAAAATGAAATGAATCTAGATTTTCATAAACAAGGGAAAACTTTTTTTTTTTGTTAAAAAACAAGGGAAAACTATCTATGTGCAAATCACTCAACCAATTAATTGGAATTTTGTCTAGTCCTTTTAGCTACGAGTTCGAGGTATTATAAGTGCATATTCAGAATGATGATTTACGTTTGTAGACCCACCACATATCAATAGCTGGTTACTAGGAAAACTATGGGTAAACAAAAGCACAACCGAGTTATTAAAAATTTCTTGGATCCTTGTTACAAAATTGACACTAATTAAACACACTGTAGATATTGTACTATAAAGAAGAAAAAAAACACTAGTAAAATGTTTAAAGATAACTCCGGAATCAGAACTCACGTAACATCAACTGTGAAGTTCGAACAAAATATAATATTCCAGTTTTGGGAAATCAGAATCCCATCCCTGATGGAAAAGATTAAGGCAAAAGAGACATCTCACAAATTAGGTAAAAGAAAATGCAAATATAATCAGACATGAAAACATTGATATGACATTTACAAGATATAAAGCGATATATATATATATATATATATATATAATCAATAATTTTGAATAATCTTACGTTTTACTCCATTTCTAGAGGGCGAGTAAATTATTCGATTTCTTTATCTTCATAAAAAGAATGAAACAAACATAATTTATTTAAGAGAAATGGTATGAGATGGCCATAAATAGTGTATAAATAGGAAATGATCATTAGTTGACAGAATAGAGAAGAAAAAGGAAATTACCATTAATGAAAAAGGACAATTTGACACAAATACATGTTTATTTCTGATTTTAAAAATAAAACATTATTAGATTTAGAATCAGTCACTTTATTATTTTTTATTACTCTTTATCTATGTCCACACGAATATTTGAGAGTGTGAAGAATCGGATATTTTTACCATTTAAAGTGTTTACATCAATTGTAGTGGAAGTCGCAGCGTGAAATTTTGGACATTGTTCTAACTTCATAACAATGCATTCAACTACTGAACCATGACCATTAGTTGGTTTAATGGTTTATTTTTGTAGCAATAATTTGCAAGAATGATTTGCTTTATATACATTTTGTTGAATATATATATATATATATATATATATATATATATATATTTTTTTTTGATGGCTTGTTAAAGATCATTTTTATTTTCATTGTTTATCAATTTTTATGTAATACAATAAAATGATAAATGCATCTTATATATGTCGTCATTGAATGCGTAGGACTTACGGGATTGAGCATAATTAAATGGTACTTACTTTGGTTAAATTATGCTTTGTCTATTCTATGGACTCAGATCTAAATATTTGCGAACCTAATAACAACTAATGTCTCAGATATTTTTTGCCACTATTGTGAAGATTTTCATAATCATCCTAGACCATCGATAATACGACGGTTTCTACATAAGTTACTATTTAGGTCACTCTAGAGTCAAAAGACTAATTAAATCTCAACTACATAACTAAGAAAAAGTTTAAATGTGTGAACAACCAAATTTGGTTTGTGCAGCAGATGGAACCTTCCTGGATGACATCAAGATTTTATTATTAAGGGTCCCTATTATTAATGCATAAAATAAAAGAACAAAATAAATAAAAAATAAATAGAAAGGTTATTAAAGTAAAGAATAGTCAACCCAAGAATCGTCAAGTCACATGAAAACGAACGTCGATTCTGACTTGACGACAATCCAACCTTATATATAAATAGACGCATGATAATGCATCATCCATAGATCTCTTATTAAATAACATTGCTGACCAAACTCTTACAAAGCAAACCAATCTTGAACCACCAAAGTTAATGGAGAGCTCAAACAGGAGGAGCAACAACCAATCACAAGATGACAAGCAAGCTCGTTTCCGAGGCGTTCGAAGGAGACCATGGGGCAAATTTGCAGCAGAGATTCGAGACCCCTCGAGGAACGGTGCCCGTCTTTGGCTTGGGACATTTGAGACCGCTGAGGAGGCGGCACGGGCTTATGACCGAGCAGCCTATAACCTTAGGGGCCATCTCGCTATACTCAACTTCCCTAATGAGTATTATTCACGTATGGATGACTACTCACTACGCCCTCCTTACGCTTCTTCTTCTTCTTCGTCGTCATCCGGTTCAACTTCTATCAATGCGAGTCGACAAAGCCAAAGAGAAGTTTTCGAGTTTGAGTATTTGGACGATAGGGTTCTTGAAGACCTTCTTGATTCAGAAGAAAGGAAGAGATAATCACGGTTAATTAGTTTTGTTTAGCTATTTGATGTGGCACTGTTGTGGCTTTCTACGTGCATCATGTGCATGTAGGTCACTTGATTAGTACTTTATTTGGAGTTTTTATAACGTGCCACGACCATAAATTGTAAGATAAGGCGTACTTTGCGTTTTAATGAAATATGAAGCTTAGATATATAGTATAAGTAAAGTACGTACACCAGCTTTCATATTTTTTTCTATTATTTGATGAGATCCTCACTAAGTTGCTATCTATATGGATATGATAATATGATTTGATGCCAATAGTGTTGTTATTGACACCGTACGCGTAATAGAACTGCTTCATTTATATGATTTCAAATACAAACCTGATCTTACGGAACATGCATGTCATTCGGAATTACTCATTCCTCAGTTAATCAAACACAAAAATGTCTATTTAATTTCACAAGTTTAGTTTAGTTTACATAATCCAAATCTATAATGGAAAATAACTGTAATGTTTATGTGATAAGCCTCATTACTTATAATTCTTTTTTGAACATTGTATTAAATTCATCGGTTTTTGGAGAGAAGTCAGACGAAATTTATTTCATTAAAGAATCTATGGACGATAGCGGTGTGCCAAAAGAAATTTTATTAATAGAACATTAAAACTATATATTATCTCTTAACTTGAAATACAGACTTTCGGTAGTGAAAATATAGGAACGCATCCGATCAAGAATTCAAGATGACATCTAGAACGAAATTTTTGTATTTAAGAAAAATAAAACTGTTTTAATATCAACTGTCGTAGTTAAAGTTTTTAAGATAGACTATTAATCAAAAAGAAAAAAAAAAAAAAAGATAGACTATTAATCCTTTGCAAAGCTATTTATTGAAGTATGAGAATCGGTCAAGATCCGCTAATACAAGTGACATAAATATCTCTGCATTATCTTTGAGCACGATAGTTCGAGTCCACATCACAGCAAATAGTTGAGTAAGAAAACCAATAGACCTTGTTGACAAAAAAAAAGCTGCATCAATTTCCAATCCAACATCTTTAGGGAAGAAATTCGACTAAAAAGAAAGGTTACTTTTCAAATGATTCTTAATATAAAATTCTTTCTTTTTACTGAGTATACTTTATAGTTTATACTCTACTCACAACTTCACAACCTCGATGCCATTATTTTGAACAAGATAGAATATCCATATTTTTAAAAAGGAATATAATAAGTTCATTCTAGTGATTTCTCTCAAATACCTCAAGCAAAATTTTGCACTTCAAAATCAGTCATCTATAGACGTTTTTAATAATAATTTTTTTTACAAAAAAAACAAATTTTGTTCGTCTCGGATATTAGTTTGGATTTCGGATTGGAATTCCTCCGGTTGTAAAAAAAAGAAGACACATATTTTTTTTTTAATCTAAATGATTATTGTGAACGACCTTGATTTACATGTTATCAATGTTATGTAAATGTAAGAAAGACAAATGCATAGTACTCTCTATTCATGTTCCGCAAGTAACAAATAATGTTCGAGGTAGACCAATGATATCGTAGGATAGTTTTCAGATTCTAGCCAGTAATTTGGGCCAAGTCTATATAATTTATAACGTGAAGCCCAACAATGTATAGTGAATACCAACAAACTTGTGACAACTAGTAATTTAAACTTTCCCGGGAAAATTGACACACAACAGAATAACTTCCTAAACTAAAGAAAAAATATATTATATTGATTTATACTCTTTACTCCAAAAACATTAGATACTGTAAGTAAGTAGTGATGATCTAACGGTTGAAGGAAGACAAGTAAGAAGTGACAATCGATCTAAGTGTCTTGATTATAGCTCTCTCCATAATCTAAAAGCTCCTCCAATAAACTATCATCCAAATACTCAAACTCAATAACTTCCCTCCCATCACCACCGCCTCCTCCTCTATATTCAGACGACGAGGAAGCCACCGCATTCTCTCGGCTACCATTTGGACCGTCCTTCATCATTTGATACTCGTGAGGGAAATTGAGAATGGCCCTTTGGCCTCTCATGGCAAAAGCTGCTCTATCATAAGCCCGAGCCGCGTCTTCAGCTGTGTTAAACGTCCCAAGCCAAACACGTGCACCGTGTCTATTTGAGTCGCGTATCTCCGCCGCATATTTCCCCCACGGACGCTTCCGTACGCCTCTGTATTTCACCTCATTGGTGTTATAAGACTCTCTATGTTCCATGAAAGCTTTAAGGGTTTTTGTTTTTGCATGTAACATGAGTTGATAGTAATGACAATTTATACGTGGAAGTAATGTGACTCTATTAGAGAATCTAGTGGATGTTATTTTAACGCACGTGTCTGTTCAAAAGCCTCCTTTAAATTATATATAAAGTTAAATCAGGGGGTAAATTGTAAATAACAATACATTCGTGCCATCGTAAAATTAAAGGAAATTATTGGGGTTGACAACAAATATTAGAAACAACTTGATTTGCGGCTGCTTTATGTCTATTGTATAATTTAGCAACAATTGAGGGACTAAAATGAAAAAATAAAGAAGTGAGTGAAGTCCAATGAATCTGGATGGTCAAGGAGACGGCTAAATTGAAAGAAAGTATTTTTATGACGACGGACCAAAGATGCTCTCAGCCTCTCACTTTTTTTTTGGTCAAGCTATTTTTTTTGTTTTTTCTTTCAATTAATTGTCTCACGTGTCAACTTTGACCGCACGTGTAGTAGATTCTAGTTTTTTAAATTTCAATTTGACCATCACCAAACACAGAAATGTGTGTGATTCTGTAGTTATAACTTATAAGGACAGGTAAAACATGATACACTTTTAGATAATATAAAATATTTGTGCATTTTTTTTTGTTTTTTCTTTCAATTAATTGTCTCACGTGTCAACTTTGACCGCACGTGTAGTAGATTCTAGTTTTTTAAATTTCAATTTGACCATCACCAAACACATAGAAATGTGTGTGATTCTGTAGTTATAACTTATAAGGACAGGTAAAACATGATACACTTTTAGATAATATAAAATATTTGTGCATTTTTGATAAAGCATGCTACTATTATTTGGTTTAGTTATCACTGTGTTCATTTTCATTTGCTTTTGTCTTCCCTGCAAATCAGAAAGTCTTTCTCTTCTCCATCACAAATCTTTCAGAGAAAGAATTTTGGCTTGCTTTTCCGACGAAGCTTTTGATATATCTTTCTAATTGTCTCCGTTGATCTTGGCTTCATCAGCGAGATCAGATGGCTTTTGTCTCCGGCGAACCCAGCTTTCACAGTGAGTTTTGTTCGGCTAAGTTTCTGGCCTGTTCGGCTTTTACAGCGAGCTTGTTCGGCGTTTCTCCGGCATCGCTCGGCTTATTCAGCGAGGTTGGCTGGCTTTATCTCCGGTGTTCTCGTCGCCATCTCATCAGGCGAGTTCGATCGGCTTTGGTTTCTGGATTATGGTTTAAACCGAAGGTAATAATTTCAAGAGATATGTGTATCTTTGAAATTTTTTTTTTTTTTTTTTTTTTTTTTTTTTTTTATATCTTTGAAATTTTCGTTCCTTGGTTTGGGTTTGTTTAAAAGGCAAAGGTCTTCGTTTTGTTAATTTCCTGGATGGGAGATTTATTGGCCTTTGGTTTCCAGTAAGGGTTTCATGATTTGGGATCTTGTTGAGTGAAGATCTTTCAGAAGTTTAGGGTTTATTAGATTGCACTCATGGCTCTACCGGGTCGCGCGTTAAGTGTAAATGTTCCTGGGATAGGGATTAAGTGAGAGATTTAATTTTACCCTTACTTATATTTTCTGTTGAATTTCTCTTCGTTCAATTAGTTCCTGCGTTGCCCTGTTTCTCTCGAGTTTGTTAAACTCGTTTAAAAGCTTTGTTTCCAAGGAAATTATGTTTTCCGTTGGCTTTGTTCTTGGGAAGTTTATTTCCACTGTTGTATGTTTTTGACCTTTGTTCAATAAATAAAATATCCAGATGACAAAAAAAAAAAAAGTTATCACTGTGTTCATTGACCAGAAGTTGAAAAGTAATTTGGTGAAATCTTATATTATTTTGGCCGCATTAAGATGTATTAACGAGTTATGATTTTCTTTCTACATAGAAATGATTTAATAGAATTATCATTATACACGAAAAGTTAATGTTCTAAATTTTTTCATGAAAATTTTCTGTAAATAGGTCCTACGAACTTGAGTGATATTTGGGCTGCTTGAATAGCTCTTCTCTTTAACGCACGATCGACAAGTTATTAAAGCTTTAAGGTTATTTTTAAAGAAAAAAAACAGAAACCTAAGTTATCGATTATAGATGTAAAAAAAAAATTCACATTTACTAAGTATAAATATAATTGAAATGATTTAAATTTTGTATATTGTAAACATATTTGATCAAGTATAAATATATATTAGTATGATTATATTTATATTAAATTATATCACTACAAAACGTTGCAGAAAGAACATTTGAGAACAGTTTATAAGTTAGGTTCAAAATAAAAAGACTATCAAAAAGTCAATTAGGCCTCTTAATTCGAGATTGGTACTCGGTATGTTGTGCAACCCAAAAACTAGACCCAACGAATTGTTTCCCACCAATGCTTGAAGGCCATATATTGGATAAACGATATAATTTAGGCCCAAAAAGTATAAAATCATCTTCATCATAAAATATGTAGGAGAACAACTTGAACATGCAATAGAATTATTCATTTTTGTTAAGTTTTAGCTGTTTCAACTCAAAACTAATTGATAATTTTTAGACGGACCGATATCACTTATATATTACTCTGAAGTCATATCATATTTCCGATGTAAGATTCCTAATACTTTCTCTTCGAGATAATGGTTTTCCGTCAAGTTTTATATTGAATCACACTATGCAAATATACTCTATTTAAGCCACTTTACGTGGATCAAATATAGCCTCTAATACTATATTAAGTTTCATAGATTTTAATTTGAAATTAATTAATAATGAATGTATTACCTCATATAACATTTCCGATGTTGGATTAATGATAATTTTGAGTTTTCAAATATATTTTTATAAGTAGAAAGCAAAACAAAAGAAATAGAATTCGCATTCACTTACAAAAATAAAGAAATTGAATTCAGAAATGGATAAAAGTTGTGGAAGTAACATCAACATGTACCCAAATAATTTCATCTAACACAAGATTCAAATTAATATATACTTGAATAAATAATATCAAAGATATATATGCTTGAAAATTGAAATTCGAAGGTTGCATGCGACGTTTGAAAACGCCAACGAACGTTTTGTTGTTCCAACTTCCAAGTGTCAAACATGAATGATTCTTTGATTCTTTCACTGTAATTATCTTCACACTGCTTCACTTGTCTTTCCTTTTCTTCGATTGGCCATTTTCCCACTTTGTGTCATTTTAATTTTGTTCCTGCTTTTATCAAAGTTAGATTTTTTTCCATGTCAAGTGCCAACTCTTTCAAGTCTTCGACTTTTTGACCAAACAAGTCATTTGGTTTGGCCTTCTAATATTGAGTGTGTGGATGTTGCTCGCTCTCTAAAATATAGACAAAACTAAATATATATACTTCTTTTATTTCCGGGTCGGGTCTAAAGTTTTAGAAGCATAATATAAATACAAAAAGGAGAAATTTAATACAGATTTAGTACTATTGATTTCATAAATATTTGTTTAATTATTTTGTAAAACATATAGACAACTATTTTTTTTGTAATATATCACGCTAATGCGATACGATTATATCACGCCAACACCATACAAATTATCTTGGAAAAATTGAGATTAGTTGCTCAATGATGATATTATTACGTTGAGACCACATTGAAACGATAATGCAAATTAACTCTCTCACCTTTAAAGTTTTAAACATACTATAACTCTAAATGTATACATAATAAACAAAACACAATTAGTGTAAGAAAAAAATGAGAAAAAGTAATTAAAAACCGGATCAATACTTTCTCACCGGAGTTTGGCTCGATTAAAAGACATTATCCCACGTAATAGAAATTGGTTATGGATCGGATCTTGTGTAAAAAAAAAATCGTATCAATACAAAAAAACAAAACACGTAATGCCCCGCCTTTTTTAGAAAAGCGGTCCAACACTGAACGATTCTTTTCACTACCCAACCATTTTCATTTGCTTAATGCGTGGCTTTCTAAAATCCCCACATTTTTTTTATTAATATAAAACCGATTCCGATTTTGTTGTTAAATTCGATATGTTTTTTTTTTCGAGAATAAAATTTGGGTTTAAATTCCAAAATTCCCTCAAATCTTTAATATATTTTCCAATAACAAAAGATTTTCCAGTTTTATATATACACATCTCTAACACAACAGTATCTCCTCAAATTTTCTAGGGATAACAGCTTTTTTGTATTTTGTGAGTACCCTTTTGATATATTTTTGCCTGCATTCTCTGTTCTTCTTCTGATGTATCCATCTATTGACGATGATGATGATCTTCTCGCTGCTCTTTGCTTTGATCAAAGGTTTGATTTTTATTGTTCAATTGTGTTGTGTTGTGCCTTTTAATATCTGGGTTTCATAGGTTTCCTAATTTTCAATCCAATTTCAATTGTAAATACCAAAAGTTTTGATTTTGAATATCAAAAGTTTTTCTAGGGATTTGTTGTTGATGGAGATTTTTGTTATCTTGATTAGCAATGGAGTAGAAGATCCTTATGCATATATTCGGACAAATGAGGATAACATCTTTCAGGATTTTGGGTCCTGTGGTTTGAATCTGCAGTCACAACAACAACAAAGTTGTAACATTGGAGCACAATTTGATTCTTTTAGTGGAAATCTTGAGCAAGTTTGTAGCTTTAGAGGGGAAAACAATGGAGTTGTTTATAGTAGTAGTATTGGATCAGCACAATTGGATTTGGCTGCATCGTTTAGTGGAGTTTTGCAGCAAGAGACTCATCAAGTCTGTGGCTTTAGAGGACAAAACGACGATTCTGCAGCGAATCATTTGCAGCAAGAACCGGGACAAGTGTGTAGCGGTGTAGTGGAAATCAATTCTTCGTCGTCGGTTGGAGGTGTTAAGGAAGAGTTAGAACACGTTGAAGAAGAATGTTCGCGAAAGAGGTAGTTTTTTAAGAATTTGAATACTTTGCTCTTTACAATTCTTTGTTATGATGGTTTCAAGAACTACTGTGGTTGTTTTCTGCGGTGTTGTGTGTTTTTAAGTAAAAATATTTGTAGCTAATGATTTCTTGTCTTGGTCTCCACAAGTTTGGTCTTGTTTCGAATCACCTAAACTTGCACTATGTTGTGTGATCTTGTTGTTTGGATTTCGTTGTTTGATGTGATTATCTATGAACAGGAGACGAAATGGATCATGTAACAAGCCAGGAACCAAAGCCTGTCGCGAGAAACTGAGAAGGGAAAAGCTAAATGACAAGTATGTTCAGAGCTTTGCCTAACCCTTATGTTTAAGTTATTTTCCGCATTGTGTCGTTCCGCAGTTGCCTCATATGAAAGAATATTGTGTGTTTTTTCAGGTTCATGGACTTGAGCTCTGTTTTGGAGCCTGGCAGGACTCCAAAGACGGATAAATCAGCTATACTCGATGATGCAATTCGGGTTGTGAATCAGCTCAGAGGTGAAGCTCATGAGCTTAAAGAAACCAACCAGAAGCTTCTGGAAGAGATCAAGAGTCTAAAGGTTGGTTTCTCATTTTGTCCTATGACTCCTATCATTTGAGACCCCAACTCATAAAACTTAGCTACCTAATCCATCTGCTTTTGAGATGAGGAACACAATTCAAGTAGTCTTTGTAGTTTCTACCTGAAAATGTTTCCGATTTCAGTATCTTGATTTCGGTTTTAACTGTCTGGAATAGGCGGAGAAAAACGAATTACGGGAGGAAAAGCTGGTGTTGAAGGCGGATAAGGAGAAGATGGTGAAACAGTTGAAATCTATAGCGTTTCCATCACCGGGTTTCATGCCCTCACAGCATCCAGCAGCTTTCCATCCCAATAATATGCCGGTTTATTCGGGTTACGGTTACTATCCTCCAAACATGCCAATGTGGTCACCCTTACCTCCTGCTGACCGTGATACGTCTCGTGATCACAAAAATCTTCCTCCTGTTGCATAATCTTCTTTCTGTTGATTAATCAATGATCATAACTATCAATCGCTTAGGAATTTTTGTTCCTTCAGATGATTCTTTATCAGTAGTTTTGCAGTAACCATTGTGAGATTAGAGAATTTTTTTATTTGAATAAAATGTCTGAGAAACTTTAAGCCAATGTAAAGGTGGAAATAGATCATTTGAAAATGTATTACACCAAATGTATGTGAAAGTGATGGACAAAGTAATCGGAATCTCCTAAAACCCTAAATACTAATTTATCGGCGGTGGGATAAAAAACCGAACCGAGGTTTATGGATTTCGGTTCGTATTCGGTTATTAGGGAAAAACCGATGGACAGCTTCTACAATTATAATCGGTTAATTCGGTTCGGTTCGCTTGAAACGAACGGTTCAACCGAACTAAATCTAAACCCTAATAATATTTCACCATGGTTCACTTCCGCCTTCTTATGTTGTCTTCACATCGACGGAACGGAAGTAGAACTTTCCGACCAATCTAGGTTTAAACCCTGAGATCACTCTAGATCACAAATGGAGCTCAATTTATCTTCGATGGCTTTAACAAACACCAAAATCCATTGTTTCGGTCTTATACCCACCAGAAGTTTCTTAAACCCATCAAAATCTCTGTGCCATCATCAGCTTCCAAGAGTTTCATTCTCTGTTTCTTCTCCTCATTCTCTCAAGCTAATGACTTCAACAAAGGTAAAGCCTTTTCTAGTTTCAAGCCTATATTTTGTGGGTTTATGCTCAAATGCTGTGTTTTGGATGTTTTCCGATACCAATTGACGGTAAATGAATATACTTTAGGTGATAGCAATGGCTGGTGCAAGTTCCAGAGACTTGGAGATGTCGAATTTAACAGCATTATCGCCTTTGGATGGACGTTATTGGGGGAAAGTTAAGGAATTGGCTTCTTCTATGAGTGAGTTTGGGTTGATCTATTTCCGTGTACTTGTCGAGGTACTTCCTTCTGATATTAACTCTTTTTGTTACCTATCAAGTGAAGGGTTATGATCTGGTTCATTGATTGAGACGATTATGGTTGGGAAGATTGGTTTTGTTCTTCTTTGGTGGAGGAAGCATGTGAGAGTAGTTTAAATGACTGTTCTAATGCTAAAACTTTTCTTGTTTTTTCTTATATATTTTTGCTAGATCAAATGGCTTCTTAAGCTTTCAAATATTCCTCAAGTCACTGAAGTTCCAAGCTTTAGCAAAGAAGCTCAGATTTACTTGCAAGGCATAATCGATGGATTTAGCATGGATGATGCATTGGAAGTTAAGAAGATCGAGAGAGTAACAAATCACGATGTGAAAGCAGTGGAGTATTTCTTGAAACAAAAATGTGAATCACATCCAGAGATTGCTAAGGTCTAGAAACTATTCTCTCACTCCTAAGTTCTAAGGGTTTGGTTGCTTGGATTCCCTGTAACTAAATCTCTCGTCTTTTTTACCGAGTTAGGTTCTTGAGTTTTTCCATTTCGCTTGCACGTCTGAGGACATCAACAATCTTTCCCATGCTTTGATGCTTCAAGAAGCACTTAGTTCGGTTATACTTCCAGCCATGGATGAGCTGATCAAGTCTATCTCTCTGATGGCTAAGAGCTTTGCATATGTCCCCATGCTTTCACGAACTCATGGACAGGTAATGTCGAAAGAGAAGACTTTCACGGTGTTACGTTTCCCTTTTTAGCAGTATTTCAGTTCTATCTATCTCTTTTTTAAACCAATGGTCATGAATTATAATGCAGCCAGCTTCACCTACAACTTTGGGGAAGGAAATGGCGATTTTTGCTGTGAGGTTAAGCGAAGAAAGGAGATATCTTTCAGAAACCAAGATTAAGGGGAAATTTGCGGGTGCTGTTGGGAACTACAACGCCCATATTTCTGCATATTCTAATATCGACTGGCCTCATGTAGCAGAGGAGTTTGTTACATCTCTTGGATTAACATTTAACCCATACGTGACTCAGGTATATAGTTTCTCTTGATCAAATTTTCCTGGTGGAAGGATTTAGTTCGCATTTGTAAAGTTCCTCACTGGTTGATTGTTCTCGTGGTTTTTGCAGATTGAACCCCATGACTATATGGCTAGACTTTTTAATACAATTAGCCAATTCAACAATATCTTGATTGATTTTGACAGAGATATATGGAGCTACATATCTTTAGGGTACTTTAAGCAGGCAAGTATTAACAAAAATGATTAAAAATAATATGTCGAGTCATTTGAATGGGAAAATCGTCTCATTGTTTGAAATTTTTATGCAGATAACTAAAGCGGGTGAAATCGGATCATCGACAATGCCTCACAAAGTGAATCCTATTGACTTTGAGAACAGTGAAGGGAATCTAGGTAAAGCAAATGCAGAGCTTGCTTTTCTCAGCATGAAGCTTCCCATTTCACGAATGCAGGTTTGAGCATTTTTTCATATTAAGTGTCCACTAGATTTTCCTAACAGTAATGGGGAAAAAGTAAGCCTGAAAATTAAATGTACAATCTGCAGCGTGATTTAACCGATTCAACTGTCTTGAGAAACATGGGTGGAGCTTTAGGACACTCTCTTCTGGCTTACAAGAGCGCGATACAGGGAATTGGGAAGCTTCAGGTATTATTTCCGTTGCCCTAAGAAAGGTCTCCACTTGTCAGAGACTAAGGATGATCTTGATATAGGTTAATGAAGCTCGGTTAAAAGAAGATTTGGATCATACTTGGGAAGTCCTCGCTGAACCGATCCAAACTGTAAATTTCTGGAAACTTTCTAGTCTTCTATACAAGTTAGTCCATGTATTGCTAATTGACGGAATAAAAAACAGGTGATGAGGAGATATGGTGTTCCAGAGCCGTATGAGAAGCTGAAGGAGCTAACAAGAGGAAGAGCTGTGAATGAAGAAAGCATTAGAAAGTTTATTACAGGTTTGGAATTGCCTGAAGAAGCAAAAGACCAACTTTTGAAGCTAACTCCACACACATATGTTGGCGCTGCTGCTGCATTGGCACTAGCCGTGGATGAAGCTGTGCACTTGGGACATTAATAATATGATCAAATCGGTGTAGATGATGGTGCTTGTTGTATTACTACAGTTATTATTACAGTGATTTGACTCCTTTGCTTTCTCTGGTCTTTGGATCTTGTGTTACTACAGTTAGTCAGTTCACATTATACCGATTCTTGAAAGGTAACAAACCTGATTTTCATGTCGCAATGCCGCCTGATAAAGCGAAACCGTTTTACGCCTCTTTAGTCGAGAAATTCCAGAAAGCATATAATCCCGATGCAGTAAAAGGTAAAACACACTCTCATTGATCTTTCTTGATCAAAACTTCACATTTTCTCCAGACGGTGTATTACACCAAAATGTAGAAGAATCCAAAAAATCAAGGAGTATTTTGTAAATTACGCGAAGTTAGTGGTCCTTTATAGTAGGTCATAGTAGAAGCATCTTAACCACTCATTTTTAAAACTCATTAATTCCTAGCCGTTGGATCTTTGTCAAACCTGTAGCTTCAAAGCAAGGCAAAACCACCACCAACCGAATTTTTACATGTTTGTATTTTGTAATCATAAATAGTTTCGATCCAAAAACGTAACGTAAGATACTATCTATTTTAGTACAATAATCCATAATTGAAAATGTCCCACAGAATTTAATAAAAATGAGAGCATTTTTTCATAATTTCATAAACAAGAGTAATCTTTATACACTGAGAGTTTAAAAATGGTGTAATGGTATTCTATTAACAAAACAAAGAATCAAAAATCTCAAATGAGTTTTGTTTTGTCTATATATATGGGAATTGTACAGAGAGTTTTTCGGTTTTACTTACGCGGAAGCAAGTAACCAGAGTGTAGTAAGCGAAGAAATGGCGATTGTGATCCAACAAAGGAAAGCTAAAGCTACAGAGAGTTGGTATTTCCAACACTCTGCTTCGAAACTACAGCTTCCTAAATCGCCAAAGTATAAAACCGTTATTCCCGCGGATGATGATGCTCCTGCTAATGACAATGTCGATGTTACCTAAACAGGAAAATACAAAATGATTAGCATTTTGATGATCTTTGTTTGATTTACTAGAGAGGAGAGACAGACAGAGAGAGGGTCTACTCTTACCCAATCTCCAACTACAAATAGGCTGACTAAAACCGGACTAAGAAGCGTTTTCTTTCTCACTAAGGCGAATGTGTCTAGTATCGCAAGACCGAAACTCCATATGACTTGCAAACCCATTGCTGCTATTAGATAGCTGCAACCAAATCTTTCAGGTGTAAGAACATATAAGCGATAACATATACACGAAAAGTCTACATATACTTGAGAATGAATGCTAAATTGTCACAGAATCAAAGATTTCACATATCAGAAGTTTTCAAGATCTTTGCACATAACAAAAAGTAATGGATCCACAATCATGAAGCATTTACACAAATCAAACCACACTTGTCTAGCACAAGATCTTCGAAACACCTAACATTAGACTCAAACACACTCAAAATTACTTCAAAATCCTAAAACACTAAATCCAGAGGTAATAAAAAGAGTTTCAGATTCTGACACAGCTTTCTCGGGATTGGATCTATACTAATCCACGAACTCAATATCCTAAACTCTGATAAAACAGAACAAAAAGAGCTGACTTTACCAGAAAGCAGTGAAGCTAAAGAATCCACCAGAAGTAACCATATAAGAAATCGAACCAGCAGCAAAAACACACTGAGAAATTCTCAAGACTAAACCAGTCAAAGTCCCTGGTGTTCCAGGGATATCTATCATTATTCTTCCACAAGAAACCCAAAAATAAACAAAACCCAAATCGTGAATTATAGTCTTTGTTACTTCTCCGAGATCAAAACCTCAACTTTCTTGAAACTCAGGCGATTTTTCCGGCGAGAAAACAATAAAGGTGAGATTTTTCGGTTTTTCAGGGTGAGAAATTGAGGAATCAGAGGAGACGAATATGGAAAATTGAAGACTTTTTTTTGTTGTTTTTTTTTTCAACAGAGAGAGGGCACATAGAGAGGAGGAGAGAAGACGAAGAAGAACAAATGCGTAATTTTTATTTTTGTTAATTAGAAAGTGGAAATTTTTTTAAATAGTAAAATAGTTAATGGTGAAAGTGATGGACAAATATTTCTTTGTGTATTTTTTAATTCAAACTTTTGGCTTTAGCATTGTTGGAAGTTCACTTTTTTCAATTAGGAAATTTATTTTTTACTGTTGATTGATTCAATTAATTTTTTATTTGATTAGGCTTTTTGGCTTTGTATGTTGTTGCTTATTGATTTTTTTTTTCTTTTTCTTTTTAGTGTTGAACTATTTTATTAGTTTTTTTTACTCAGCCAGAATATGTCCTACTTTTCGGAAAACTATACAGAAAAAATCACAACTTTTTGTTTTAATTAAAAGTGAAAATAATAGATAGTTTTTTTTTTTGGTAAGAATATTAGATAGTTTATCACTAGTAAAACATCAAATTTTCCGACCAAAAAAAAACATCAAATATTTTACTGAAACTTGAGAAACGAAAGTCATATAAATAGTATATTTTTAAAAAATAGTATAAGCAATATGCACATTATTTTTTATTTAATTAGTTTTTAAAAAAGCTTACCATATAGAAAGAAAAAAAAACATAAAAAAAAAACTAAATCAAATGATCAGAAGGAAATTTGAATTTGTTCGGGAAATGAAAATACAACATCATAATCAAATACATGCTATTTATTCATAGCCAAAAGAAAAAAAACTCACAAATCTTCAAAAGAAACTAAAAATTATTGAAAAACAAAGAGATCACTTGTTGATTGAGACACAAGTAATTATATAAGCCAAATTGGATCAGTTAGTTTTTTGCTTCGTGGACGTCTTCTTGATGAGCACCCCATGCCTATGTTTCATCGCAATGAAGCACGCCAATACAGCTACTACTCCAACACCCTGAAAATAATAGACAACAAATTTCAGTTTCCGATAATTTCATCTGAATTATTACTTTCTTAATGTTTAATTAACTATTCTTGTTTAAGTTATCAATACCTTAATAAACCTAATGAACAATGTGTTAAACTCGCTTGGTGTGAATAGAGGATTCGAGATGGCTAGTCTCGCAATCTGCAAAAACATAACCATTAAGAAGATTATGTTAAACCAATGACATCATTATAATTGTTATCTAGTCCGATTTATTACCTCGTTAAGCTGATCGCAGAATTTCTGGCGCGATTCTTCGTTAACCATAGAGGTATAGAGGCTCATGGCCACTCCATCATCAGCTGACACCGTCTCGTTCACAAACTAATCATATATATCAGCTGTGTTATATATAATCACATATACAAATATACTGATGATAATTACACTTTTAAGCCGTGGATCGGGTTGCTTACCTCTTTGAACTTTGTGTAGAAAATGGTGAAATGGTCTCTATCAAAATCGCGATTGTAGAAATCGTACAATATCGGGCTCAAAATGGCTTGGTATACAAGCTATAAGATCAAACCATATGCAAGATTAATAATTTCGTTTATTATTTCAATATTAAACCTAAGAATAAGAAAGTGAGGTAGATTAGTATACCAAAAGCGAAGCTCCTAGGTAGGTGTTGAAGATGAATAAGATCCCTCCAACAAACTTCATCATTATACCAAGAGCAACTATGTACTTTGCCTACAAATTTTTTTATTAATTACAAAACAAATGAACAAAACTTAAACTAAATCGGTTGTGTTTAGTTAACACTTTGGTATAATAAAATGTTTACCTGGTTCTCAAAGAAACCAAGTTTTGGTCTTAACTCATCGGCAGCTACTCCGAAACCATAATACCTTAACAAAAAAAAAACCATGAAAATATAAAATTCACTGACTAGCTTTAAGAAACAACAATATATGTCATTCAGATCTAATAATTTCTTTAGTGCTTACTCTCTCCAAGCAGACACGATGAACGCAGTTGCAAAGACAACTCGACCGGCGGGCATAAGAAACGGCATTTTCTCTATCTTTCTTCCATATCTAACCACCGATTCTTGCGTTTTCTCCATGTTTTTTTTTCTTAAAATTAAGGAAGATTATTAAGTGTATATCTATGTGTGTTTAAATGTATGAGACAGACGAAGAGAATTTGCTATGAAGGAAGATGATGAAGTCTTTGGATCACCAAGGAGACGACTAGATGGTAGATGATGGAATAGTTGAATAATTCAATATACAAACTATATAGGTTATATGATTATATAAAAGGAAGACGAATAACAAGCACCTATTAAAAATGACTAATCTCTATGTCAAGAAATAACATATTGTTTAAGATACTACAACTTGTGATATAAAAAATGACTTTCGAATATGTGAAAACAAAGACCGTCTGTATAATCATAAATAATAAAGACTTGAACGTTTAAACCTTTTTTAATGTGTATTATAAAGAAAATTTACAGTTATGCGAATGTTAATTTAGTTTCTACCAAAGTTGACTTGCCTTATAAAACGACCGGAACTCTTTTTTAATTTTTTTTGGATCAGAACGATCGGAACTTGCATTATTCTCAATTATAGAGTAAAATAAATTTATATTTTAAAATGACTAGGGATTTGAACAATTGATCAGAAAGTTCCCAATTACAATTTTATTTAGGTGAATAGTTGGTAAATACCAAATGTCTTTCTTGGTTAACCGGTTTAAAGTCAATGTATTAAGGATAACTATCGGGACTCTCACGTTTTGTAGATCTACAACAAATATTATCAAGTTTTGACTGGTTTTGGTTTCGAAAAATTGTGAAAAAGTCATTAAAAATATGTTTACTTGCTTGTAATTGATTAGGCTAGTAGCCTAGAACGTGAACAGTTGTGCTAATGTGGTCAATTCTATATTCGGCTACAACTTCTAATATATAAATATAGTCATATTGTATAACCGCATAAATTATTTATAGCTCTTTTATTCAAGAACGAAGTAATAAAGGTAACGTAATTGTTCATTTTGTCAAAAGATGATTCTAGTTCAATATCACATAAAGATAAAGCATTTGTAATGGCTTTTTATTTTTCAATCAGTTTTAACTTTGGATTGGTTCTTGGCTTTGTTGAGACGATGCTTCATATCCAAGAAAAAGAGCAATGCTCCTACTACGGCCAATCCCTTGACGAAGCTTAAGAGCCGACGAAGAAACTCATTATGTCCGAACAATGCAGGGTTTGTCATTGCATGATCCGCAAGCTACACAACACACATTAACTCAATCATCACACAGTGTTCACAAGCTACAATTATTACAAGTAGGCCTCAATAACGTACCTCACGGAATTTTGATTTGACTTGCTCTATTTGCTGCTCGTCAAAGTCTGATTTGTAGAAATTGTATGCAGTATTGTACGATACTGTTTCGTTCAGAATCTGACAAACAAACCAGGAGACAAAAAAAAAAAACAAATGAGCTGCTAAAGAAACTAGTTCCTCAAAAAGAAGAAATAGAGGTTGTTATACCCTTTTGAGTTTGAGATAGAGCAGTCCAAATTCTTCAGTGTCGATACGATGATTGTAGAAATCATGATGAATCATTGTAGCAATACCTTGGTACATAAGCTATATGCACCCACAAGAGACATATTGAATTCGAATGGGACACAAAGCATAAGATCTATAAATGATGTATATTATTCTTATAAGTATTTCAATGTTTTAGTATTTAGTTTCATTAGGTTTCAAGCTTTCCTAAAAAAAAGTGTTCATGTTAGTACCAAGAGAAAGGCTCCAGAGAAGCTGCCATAGATGAAGATAAGTCCTCCAAGAGTTCTCACTATGATACTAACTGTCATAAGATGCTTAATCTGGTCCCCTGAATAGCCAAACTTTGGGCTCCAATAATCTTCTGTTCCTTTCCAGTTGGCTATGAGCTCCATATAACTAAATATAATAAAGAAAAGAATCCTACTTGTTAAGTTTAATCATCAACTGAGAGAAATATCAAGAACCTCCTTATTTATTTTTATTTTTTATTTATATTTATTTATTTTCAAGAACCTCCTTGTTGTTAAAAAATAAAAATAGAGAATTCTTTGGTGCTTAAGAATCATTCAATTACAAATCATATTTAAATGTTTATATATATGAATTTTAGAAGTCATCAGAACCATTTATTATTCTGACTTAGATCTATTTGAATTCCAAGTAAGAATCAGAATGATGTTTCTTACTCTTGCCAAGCAGAGAGGAAGAAGGAGGAGGCAAAGAGAGCTCTTCCAATAGTTTCAACATGAGGAAAAGAAGCAACTTTTCTTCCAAATTTGTTCACTTTTCTTTGCACAACATCCATCTCCGATTCTTACTTTGTACCCTGAAAAACAAGCTATAAGAAGATGATGATCCAGAAAGAAAAAAAGTTTGGAATTTTAAAATATTTTGTAGAAACAAAGCCTTACTCTTTCAAGACTAATTCGGTTTGGTGATGAAAAGATGATGAATTTGCAGATTTGGTCTTCTTTCCGGAGAAAAGAATGGATGCACGTTGTTTTTTTTTTTTTCAAGCTTCTTGATATTTAAGAAAATTTGAATGAATTACATCAAGAACATTAAAAAATATGAAAACAATAATTAAAGGATGTGCATAGCATATTTCATTGACATCTGTATATATATACCTGTCCTCTTGTTTTATTTTACACATGTTTATGAGTACTATTTATTAGCCTATACCATGTTATGTCTTGTTTGTACTTGGTGTGGTATAATTCCAATTCATCACATACGGAAAAGATGGCTCTCTTGACACTTATCTTAGGGATTGGACACTTGGCTATATAACTTGGCAATAGTATGGACACTTTTCAAAACAGTTTAAAACAAAACCAAATCATTCGTAACTCTTTAAGGTTAAAAGAGAGATTGATTGAGGTCAGAGAGCAGAGGTCATTGAAGGGTTTGGTTGAGAAATAGAAATAAACGAAGTAGAGAGATGTGTATTATTTACTTTGGTGACGAAGAAGAGTCAATATTCATAAGGGGAGGAGAACACTTGACGGTAATTTCCACTACAAAAAATCATCCATTGCTTATGAAGTTGTAGGTAAATTATTGATCCGATATTGTAACATGATTTTGTTAATATATGAGAATGGTTAATTTCTGGTCAATGTAATTTGGTAATTAAGAAGTCCGAGACCACGTTGATCACATGATCACATTAATGTCACTACTAAGCATTTTCTTCTTACCTAATCATAAATTAATGACAAATAATACACCTAACTATTCTTATATTAATATTAACAATATGTTCATACATACTACAGTAGCTTGCTTATATAAACATACTTTCTACGATTTAATCATTTCTTCAATAACAAAAAACTGGTGTCAATAATTTTTTTTTCCACTGAATTTTTTGAAAATATTTACCATATGATGATTATTACTACTTGGTACTTGGTAGCTCAATAGGATAATACGTTTCATGATGATTTTTTTTTTTTTTGGTTACTCCAAATGATACATCACGTAAGGATCATATGTGGGCGTTGGTTAATGGTTATCATGTCAACGCCACTAAAACCAATAATGTCATTATTTATTAAACTATTATTATTCTTAATAAATTTAGTTATGCACTGCACACCTGTAATGTATCATATATTCATTATCATTATTTTAATTAATTACTTAATGCTAATAGTCTTCTTATTTTTTTTGGTAAACGTTGACTTTAAATACTCAAATCATGAATCTCACCTTCTCTAAGATAAAAATACATTTATCATTTCATAATGACCAAATTTAAAGTCTTTTGTTTAAATCAATTTGTACGAACACACCGGGTCTGCGTGAATGATTATGGTCTTTGTTTATTACGACTGAAATGACTAAACCAAACCTCTACTTCGTCAATGGATTGTTTCTTTTATATCCATCTCAAAACATATTCTTTCTAGTTATTTACTTCTTCTTATGAAAACAGATTCATCGAAGCTTTAATCATATCACTTCCTTGATCCTTCGTTCATAGTTTGCTTCTGGAACAAGTAAGTATCTTTGCACTATTAACCATCATGTGATTCTTGATTCTTGTTTCTGATTAGTTCTTACATAGGATGATTCGATTACACAATACGTTTTAAAGAAGTTACTGTTATAATTTCTGCCAAAATATATTTTCTTGTTTTTTTTTTTGTCTTAATATCCCTGACCTCAAGATTCATGTAAACACTTGATTTCTCTGTTATGATTTGATGTTCTTCTAGAATACGTATTCAAATTCTGATCTAAATCTGCATTTTTTTTAATATTATAGAAAACATTGACATTAAGATCACAATATGAAGATGTCAATTAACAAAGTCAAGAGCATGATCTGCACAACCTTAACAAAGTCAATGCCAGCCATTGCCTTCTTTGGGAGAATGGCATTTTCCTTTGTCTTTCTCATTACTGCTATCCAAGAGTAAGAAATTTTAAAATAAATATTTGATTCGGTTAATCACTTTATATATTCGAATCCACAAGGTTTGGTTTTCAACTCTGTTTAGTTATGCTGATCATTATGGTGGTGGCGCCGGCGGGCCACTCGAGAAGACAATGGGACCAGCCGTGAACGTGTTGAGCAAATATGGTTCTAAGGCTCTCACATTTTACTTTGGAATGCAAGTGGTCGCATTCGATGTTCGACTTATTGAGTTCGCACTCATAAGTGCAAAGGCAACCGCAGCTTTATGGTTCATCTTTGGACAATCCATCCCAGCTTACTTCTTGGTAAATAAATAAATCGTTATCTTGAAAAATGTTTTTCTTTGTTGATCAAGATTCTAATCTCAAAATATGTTTTGTTGATTTTTCAGCTCGTAACTCAAATTTTCTCAACTGTTATTCCTTTCCCTACCAACTTGAATGACTTCACTCAGGTTAAGCTTTGTAACCGCGTAAATCAATACATTGATTGATCACATGGTATTAGGTGATGATTAACAAAGATTGTGATTGATTTGCAGAATTTGACGTTAATCGGGGCGTTGCTATATTACATTGGATTGAAGCATACTATCGACAACCTCGATGAGGAGAAGAACAAGGAGAATGAGACAGAAGGATGATAAGGCCTTAACTTCCAGAGCCAAAGCAAAAGCAAATTGAAAGTGACAACTTCACAAACTCCATTGCTTTATTTCCGTAGTTCCCATTATGTCTTTTGTTTTCTTTTTATCTAATCAGACGACTATTTGAGCTTATGGTTACCAAAAAAGTGATATCACTTTGGATCTAATGTGTTTGTCTGCTGTTATGTTTCCTGGTTCCTGCATTGGATTGTTCACCTTGTAAAACGTAAAATGTAAAACTAATATTATTTAGCTCTTGTAGCCACCAAAAAATGGACTATGGTTCAAGTACAACGAAAGTGACTTCAAATACAACACTTAATAGCAACAAAATTCTAAAATATCAAATTTGTTACAAAAGACTATATGCGTTTGAACGATCTTTTTAGTAAACCGACCTGATCTAAGGGTTTAGGGACACTCTTCGTTTGATTTTACAATTTGAGTCTTTTTCCGGATTTATTATCAATTACAACAAAAGAATAGGCACCTTAAGATCATTAGATGCAAAAATTTGCTATAAAAAATTGTTTTGTGAAATCAAAGAAGAGCAAAATTTAAGAATGCCAAAGAATGAGATCATCATTTAACCAACGATAGATTCTTAACCAAGATCCATATTTTTTCTTCACAAATCACAATCCTACCTTTTTTATCGTTCCGTTTCTTGTTTCGTAATTTTTTCTTTTTCTTGGTCATTTACTAGAACACAACGAACCGGTTTATTAGCCTATTACAAGAGAATGAATTCGATCACGGGTAAGGTGGTGTCGGTTTTTGGTGAACTTATGAATGCCACCAGATCACGGCCACTTATGGGTCTATAAATTGAGATATATCAGAAGTTGTATGTAAAGAGGAAAATAATCAAGACTCGCTTGGCCCATTTCTGTTGGCTGTAGGAAGTGCCACGTGGAGATTGAACATATAGTGCAACCAATGACGTTCTTTCTTTCTTTTGTCTGCCTATGCAATTTCTAGCACAAAATGTTGTACGTGTGTGTGTATGCTTTGTTTTGTTTTTTTATATGATGTGTGTATGCTTTGATGACCACATAAGTCGAACGTGTGGATAGTTGGATCTTAGTATATTTGATTGGATATAAATCGTAATCAGATTAATGATTTGACTAAACATGTTTCGTAAACAAGATAAACGGTAAACCGAATAAGCCCACTAAAATCAAAGAAGAAGTTGACATAAAGGGTTGATAAATGAACACATAAATGTTGTCAAACAAAATTAGAACACGTATGTACAATTACTTTCTTATTTTAATTATTCTAGTTTATAGATTTATGCCTTTTATTTCCTTGTTTTTCTGAAGTTATCATTGTAATTGTAGGCCAAAAATTGTACAACAATCTCTTGGAAGAGTTTTACAAGTCATGTCAATAATAAAGCCACATCCAACCTACCGACGTTAACACGTTTGACGTCAAAGAAAATAGCCATTTAATTTCTTGATTGTTTTCGTTTTAAAATTTCAGAGATAAATTTAGTCATTACTCAATAAATTTGACTTGATTGGTCTAATCCATAATATTAAATTAACGGAATGATAGAACAGGAAAAATAATTTAGTTAAATAAAGAGAGTTACGCGAGTATATTTTATAAAATACTACTGTTTTAAAAGTATGCACAATTTATACATTTTTTTTTTAATCTGTACCTTTATATGTAAATTTGAGCTCAAATAATAATGATCACTGTAGCATTAACACAAATCACTCTTAGATATTAAAAATTCATATTCATGGACCATGTAATGTTTGGCACATGAATTTTCTAGATATTCAAAAAATCAAGAGTGACAGCAAATGAGAAGTGGTCAAAAAATCAAAAAAACTGGCGGTGGCATGAAGTATCAGTTACACCAAGTCCATTGGATCCTACTTACAATGGTCCCATCATCTCTCAACGTCGGTTCTTCCGTTGCTTTCTCATTATTATTTCATCGTAATCATCGCTTTTTATTTTTCGTCTTCTTTGTTTATTATTGGTACTGAAACTGGTTTTTGACAAACTGAAATAAAATCTAGGTGCCTTTTTTAAATGGTACGTATACAATTTAAAATAAACAAAATATTGTAGATATATGGACCGGTTTACAGTTGGTTATTTCTGGTTATTGATCTTGGTTTAATCTTATGTATATAAGCTTAATTACGTTTACATTAGTGAGTTAAGTTGTTGTAATCAGACTTTTAACGTTGAATAAAGTTTGTTAGAGATTCTTCAATCTCTGTCTCTTTTCCGATCATAAACTTCCGATGTACCGGACTTTATTATGGTATCAGAAGTCAGAACTCAAAATCATAGTAAACATAAATAATTTTTCTTTCTTTATAAGTTAAGCATAGGGTACACAAAACCTAGAATTACAGCTTATAAAAGTGTCACTAAGTTCATGATGATATATAAATCTAGATAAGTCTTATTAAATCTTATAATTCTATAATATAAATTAAAAATATAGAAAAATAGGTGAAATAAACAGAGAGTATTCCTCTTTAAAAACAATAAAAAATAAAAATAAAGAAACAGAAAGATAGGGAAATCCAGCAAAGCCACAGAAAATAAAAAAATAAAAACAGCTAATTCCTCTCTTTTTCATGTATCTTCAGACTTAAGACTTTTGACCACAAAAACCTCTTTACATGCTCAACACACGTCTTTGTTGTATAAATACACAACACACACGAACACGAATCTTTAAGCTTCACAGATTCTAAAAATCGAAACTTTAACCTTTTTTCTCGGAACACCACAAATCTCATTTTTAGCTTTTTTTCGATTCCAAATCTTGATTATTTAGTCTTCTTCAAGAACTCGATTTTCGTTCGCGTTTTATGTCGACGACGATGAAGAGACAGGGCTGCAGCTCAGATTCCGGTGATCTACGGCGGCAGCCCAGTCGTCTACAAAAACGACCTCCGGCTTTAAAACTCGTTCCGGCGACTCCGGCGGCGAATAACTGGAAAACGGCTATACCTCTTCTCTCGCCGTTAGCTCTTTCTCCTGAATCATCACCGGTCGAACAACCACCGGTTGAGAATCAGACGACGGCGAAGGCGGTTGAGAAAACGCCGGTTTTCAAGAAATGGCAACATCCGGCGGCGCCGTTCTATTACGAGTCATCGACGTTTGTTCCACCGTTTGTTCCGGTTTAGTATTGGTTTAGAGATCCAACGGCTCAAAAGTACAGTTTGTTTATTGTTTTTGGTTCTGTGTAGATCTAACGGCCCAGAAAACGCGTTTTGTGCGTTTTTACTATTTTGTGGTTGGAACAAACGCGATTTTCGTATAGAATTTAATAAATATTAAATAAAAGATTATTTAATTAAGAAGCATGTTTCTGTTACTGGTTTTGTGGTCCGAAACGGAAAAGCTAAAGTCCAATTTAATTTAATTTTTTCCGCCAAGTCCAATTTAATTATTATGGATGTTTCTGCGTATAAGTGTAACGTTGTCGAAATGTGTGGACACACTTATTTAGGTTACTATTGGAAAATTATGGATTCATCGATAACATTACTAAAATTATGCATATAATTTTTTGTAAGACTATCTTCTTGTATTTCTTTTGGTGATATTTTAGAAATTATCCATATAATCTGAGATTGAGAGGAGCGAGCTTGAGAACTCCAATACTAAACTTTGACTAAATTCAAATTCTAAAGTATTAGGGGGTGATTCATTTGAAAACTCTAGATAAAATGTTTTGAAAATTTATCTTTTTGTAGTGGCTCATGTTCAGGATAAGCATTAGTAACTCTTGCTATTTGATCACCTACTAACTATGAGGACTTTGAACCAAACTATTGAATTTAACTAATTTTGTTTTTACCTAATCCTAGACCGTATACACGAAGCTTTAACATATGGTGCATGGATGAAATTGTACCCACATGAGATTGTTGTGTGTGTGTGTACAATATTTTGTACTACCTATAGAATATCAACATATGGAAATCTCTAGATGTGTTGATTTGCAACTAAAAGTGATATGTTTTGATGATGTTTTTTAATGCCCAAATAAAAGTCTCTAACTAGTCGTTGGATCATTCTCTAAATCTCGATTATTGACTTTCTGAATTCAGTTTTAAATGCTTTCAATAAAAGTCTTTTAATTATTGACTTTCTGAATTCGGTTTTAAATGCTTAAAATCTTTAATAAAATAAAAGTATAAAATTTTGAGTTTATATCTAATCTTAATAAACGAAATTATTGAGTATCAAAAAGAAGTGGTGTATTGATTTTTTGGATTTAGTTCTCACTTCTCAGTGTCTAAAATCTGAAAGTGATAAAGTAATAATATAAACTTTAGGATTATATTTAAATAGATAAATAAATCTAAACTAAAGTACAAATAGATAAAAGTTAAAAACTGACGTCTCTTACTCAATGCGGTTGAATTTTGTTCTAACTTCATTTAATCCACTTAGATTCAACACCCTTATTAAATGGATTCAACTATTTAAATATTTGTTCTACACCCATTGTAACTAGTTTTAAAGCCTACTTTTCAATCTTCATAAACCAGGAAAGAAAGATGAAGAACTCTTCTATAATTTTATTCGTACTAGTTGTCTCTTTCTTCATTTCTTCTTCAGGTATTTTTAAATAAAAATTATTATTATTGTTTGATATATTAATTTTGGTAATTTAACTTGCAAAAATGGCATGCAAAATATTTTCTTGTGTTCTTGCTGTAAATAGTTTTATATTTTGGTTTTGATAAATAGAGAATGTGAAATTTGTAGGAGAAGCAAAAAAGTGTTTTGATGGATGGACTTGTTTAGGAGAAGACAAATGCAAAGTAAAGTGCATGGCTAAACACAAAGGAGTTGGAATATGTAACTTGTATATTATTCCTTCTTTCCCTGCTCCGGTAAGTTCTTATATGTGCGATTGCAAGTTTGATTGCTAATCTTTCTATCCAAACTAATCCTTTTAATCCATTAAATCTAATGATAAATGAATAAGTTAAACATCTTTTTTTTTTTAGTTTTATCGCCATTTTTTGTATCATTTATCTTTTATATATTCGATCTTATTATATAAAGCTTGATATTTCTCGAGAGAATTAGACATGAATCAAATATAATTAACAAGACCGCGATACATGATTTACTTAAGTTACATCATTCTTGATGGAGCACCGGTCCTTCTCCATGCTAAGGGTCTTTAAAATTCCAGGAAAATTAAAATTTTCCAATTTGGGTACTGAAGATCACAAAAGTAAATCAAAAGATTTAAGACACAATTTGCAATTAAGTATTCGCATGGAATCAATTATCCAACTGTGCATGGTCATTTGCAGTTGATTATCTTAACCTAAGAGGTAATGAAAAGAGTTAGATCATGTGGAAAATCCTGCCCTAAGTATATGAAGAAAAAAGAAAAAACAATTAGTGGCAAAATACAATGTTAAACCTTTATTTTTCTTTCTTTTTTTTTAATTATTTATTTATTTACATAAAAACTAACTAATATCTAATGTGATCTACCACTTCGAACTAAATAGTGGACATAATTATTGAAACTACAAGTAAGAAAAGAAATTTGGAAATTAGGTAGAAGAAATTTTAACAAAGAAGAAATGAGAATGCTGGCTACTCACCATCAAAATTATATAATATTGTTGATTGTTTTCCAAACAATTTCTCTATTTTGATGATACTTATCATAAATTTTTTTGTGAAGAAAATCGTATAAAATTATAAACCAATAACATAGTAATTTTATTCATTAACAATCAGAAATTCGTTTGTTTTAATTTCTTTATCTTTAATTTCTCGTAAAATTTTGATTTGATTTACTGAATAAAATTATCTTTAATGAATAAAATTTCTTGGAATCAATCAAAAGATTTAAGACACAATTTGTTTTAATTACATAGTAAGTTTTTCTTTATCTTTAATTTCTCGTAGAGCAAATGTCAAAGCGGACTCTCTGGCACGAAAAGTTCGTACAGAACCGCGTCACATCACATATGTAAACAACATTCCTCAGGAATGGCTTTTCTGAGTGTTAATTAATTTCGGATGACAAAAAAAAAAAAAAAAATTCGTTTGTTTTAGTTGAATAATAAAAAACTTTGATTGACTTTATAAAATCTGAATCCAATAACCCTAAATTTAGAATCTGTATTAAAATCGTTTATGTAAGGAAAGATTTAGATTTAGATTTAATAAAATCTTGACTGAATAACTACAGATTCTACATGTAGATAACATTTAAAGTCATTAAAACACTATTTAAATTACCAACCAATAACACCCTTTAGATGCTGTCAAAAAAAAAAAAAAAAAAAAAAAAAAAACACCCTTTAGATTTTGATTTGTAAAATTCTTCTAAAATATTCATAAACCCAATAAAAAAAATGAAGAACTCTTCTATTCTATTCGTACTAATTGTCGTTTTCGTCATTTCTTCTTCAGGTAATTGTGTTTGCTATATCATTATCCTTATTTAATATATTAATTTCATCATTTAACCTGCAAAAATGAGATGACACATACATTTTGTTGTATTCTTGGTTAGAACTGAGAAAAAATAAACTAAAATATAAAACTAAGAGAAAGATAAAATATGTAAATAAATGTTTTAAATCTTGTTTTGATATATATATATAGAGAAGCAAAAAATGGTAGGAGAAGCAAAAAAGTGTAAAGCTGGATGGGCTTGTTCTGGAGAAGATATATGCAAAGAAAAATGCATGGCTAAATACAAAGGTGTTGGAACTGTTACTTATTTTTCTTTCCCTCCGGAAACTATCACTATATTGTGCGATTGCGTGTATGATTGCTAATCTTTCTATCCAAAACTAATTTTGTTTAATCCGTTAAATCTTATGATTAAAGAATAAATGAATCTTCTCAGCTTTCTTTCATTCTTTTGCCTTAATCTGCAACTGTAAGTCATGGATAGAACAAAAATACGACATTACAACATTTTTTATTATCTCTAATATTACTTCACTGTGACTATGTATAGATCACATATATATATACCAAAGAAGAAAGACTATAAATCCTTTCTTTACGGTATTAACAACGGTTGGTTAGAACCACATAGAATAATCTACCACTCAACTGTGGTCCAGTGGTAATTGAGAATTGGGGAAATGTTGGAAGGAACTAACCCAGGTTTGATCCACGTTGGAAACAAAAAAAAACACATTTGTGTAGGAAGTCTGGACTTGAGCCAAAGGTCCAAACAATTTACCTGGTAGTCAATAACAGGCGATCTGGCTACCCTTGGCATTAGTCGAAAAATATTCCAAACTCGGGACAGACAGTGTGGTGACTTTTCGGGAAGAAGTCCACTTTAAAGCATTTCGTTACTAACCGACCGAATCAACCGATAGGGTTTATCAAAAAAAACACATGGAATAAGTTCTAATTCTAGCATTCTTGAACTGTAGTTGAAAGAACGACATGTTAACTTCTCAAACGTAGCTATCCAGTCTATTTCCATTTCGATGTATGAACTGAATTGGGCCGTAAAAAGAAACGGGCCTAATTTCGGAACAGACTACGGCCATGAAATGTCAAACTCAATAAGGTAATTTTAAAACGAATTGATTATTAAGGATTAGTACAAGAATAATAATAGTATCAGACGTGATGCATCATGCATGTGATAAAGGTCCAAATGGAAACCACCAAAATCTAAACCTAAAATTGACACAAAGAACGAATGATTTTAAGAAATGTGGGGCGAAAGTTGTTGGCTCACCACGCCCTGACTAGTAATCCTCTTATCTAATTGTATAATAACAATGCCAAAGGAATTAAATTTTTTAGTTTTTTTTTTTCTTTTTATTGAGATAATTTTTGTAGAATAATAGTATAATACTATGTGCTTGTGAATTGTGGTCACCTGAGATTTGTATGAAATATCACCATTTCTATTATACTGTTATTTCATTTTCATCTTTATCAATGTATATTCTACAAACAATGCAAAAGAAATAATATTTATAAATTCATCAAAAATATAGAATAAGTGTCTCGAACTCAAACAAAAAAATTAAGCTTTCTTCTGTTTTTAGTGGATTTGTTTCAAAACGTCGTTCTGAAAATGTAAATAGGAATAATCGAATTCAAAAAACAATTGTGTGGATTTTTTCTGCATTTTCTCAACCTTATCTTAATTTGATGTTTTTTTGTATCATAAATGTATTGATCATTACTGCCTTTGATACAAAATAATAAAATAAAAACTTGTGTCCTTACTTTTATAATATTTTATACATCAGTGTTTTTTCAATATTTATTTATGAGATTATTTGTTTAGTAGTAAGAATATACATTTTAGAGAAATTTGTGAATTTTATTGCAAAATAATAAATATTTGATGATTAGGAAATCCCACTGAGATATATAGAAATCAACATGTATTTTTCTTTATATTGTCTCTGTATGCTTTGTCTCATCTTCACATGAAGAATTTTTAGTCACCAACTCCTCCTCACCTCAACTAATTTATCCTCTAGAATAGAATATTTATTTCTTGTTTAATCAAAACATTTCAAACACGACACAACGAATTTGAATATTTAAAAATTCTAATTCCGTGTTGAAAAATGTCACTTGATTTTGATCCTAGATTTTTCTTTCAAATTAGGTCAACGAAAAAAAATTGGTTTTGAAAGATGGAGAAAGTTGTGAATTTCTTAAGTTTTGTGAGTGTAAATTAGGTAATCTTTAGCCGACAAAAAATCCAAAGAGAATGGAGACAACAAGAAGAACATCATCGGTCAAACAAATTCTTTCTTGAAGTCAACTTTTTAAGTGCTTCTTTGTTCCCAATGTATTGGTCTCTCAAGTTATGATGATGTCACGCTCACACAATATTATTCTAATATTCGAGTTTCATTACATATTTCTAAAGATTTCAAAGATTCAATTGTGTGATTAGTTATTTATATATGAGACATCAATTTATAATGAGCTCTAAGACCATCTCCAACTCAATTTTTGTTTATTTCTTTTTAAAATAGCAATTGGAGTTAGATTTTTAAAACTCATATATATTTTCAACTCTAAAATCAAAATATTTGATTTTCTCTATATTTGGAGTTTTTCATTTTCAATTTACACTAAAATTTGGAAATTTCTATTTTTAACTCCAAAATGGAGTAAGATTAGGAGAAAAGCCTAACTTCAAAATAGAATTACTCCATTTTGAAAAAGAATAAAAATTGAGAAATGTGTGAGAAATGTTCTAAGATTTTTAATTTTAGGTGTAAAAAAAAAAAACTCATTACAATATTTCAGTAATACTACATATTAGCATAAAAAAAATCTTGTAAAACGCTATCACTTCAATACATGACCAAAACACCTCTAAACATAACATATATAACATTTTTTCTTTATAAGAGATTTTTAACAAGTTGATAAAAAAGGAAGATTTTTTAACAAAAATTGGGAATAAGAAAAACATTAACAAAAGAGATAAACAAAAAAAATATTTGATATTGAATAGGTTGAAATTCCCAAGATATAAAATTAAATAGGTTGAAATTTGAGTAAAATATAAAAATACTAAAAAAAATGAAGAACATTAGTGGAGCAAGTACAAGCTGCAACATCACTCCCTTTCAAAAAAATTCAATAACAACTCTCTCTTCTTCTCTCTATCTCTCTCTCTACACTTTTCTCAAAATCAAACCCAAATTTCACAACTTTCAAAATCCTCTCTCTTTCTACATCTCTCTGTCTCTACAAGAACCTTGCAAGTTAGGTCCAAAGTTGAAAGCTTCTCTCATCAAACCCTTCTTCTTCAGCACTTTTACTTTCTCCATCTCCAATCCCTCAAAAAGCTCACATCAATGGTACATCTTCTTTTTTGAGAACCGCCCATAATCCCCAATGATTAAACCCTTTTCATGCGCGAATCCCACTTCATTTCTTCGTTCCTCGAGAAAGCTAAATGTCTTAGTCAAAAACCCTTTTCTTTTTTTCCACGGATCTGTTCTTAATCTTCCATAAAGATTCAAACTTTACTCGAAATTGTTCCAAAGTTTCGATTTTTACAATGGTTTCAGAAGCTTGGATTGTGAAAATGAGAAACCAAGTAAGTGCTAATCTCAAACACGCTCTTCTTCTTGAATCTTCCACTAAGAAACCCTCTAAAAGCTCTTCTCTTCCTAAACAAACAATTGGGATCTTATCTTTTGAAGTAGCTAACATTATGTCCAAAACCATTCACCTTCACCGTTCTCTGTCCGATACAGAGATCTCTAAGCTCAAATCCGAGGTTTTTCGGTCTGAAGGAGTTAGAAATCTTGTTTCTTCCGATGAGAATCATCTTCTTGATCTTGCTGTCTCTGAGAAGCTTGATGATTTGAGCCGTGTAGCTAGTGTTGTGTCTAGGTTAGGTAAGAAATGTAACGAACCGGCTTTACAAGGATTTGAGCATGTTTATGAAGATATAGTGAATGGGGTTATTGACTTTAGGAAGTTAGGGTTCTTGGTTAAAGATATGGAATCTATGGTTAAGAAGATGGAGAGATTTGTGAATGCTACTTGTAGTTTGTATTGTGAAATGGAAGTGATGAATGAGCTTGAACAAGCTATAGTGAAGCTTCAGAGAAGTCAGCAGCATCAAGAAAGTGTTAAAGCTTTTGAACAGAAGCTTATGTGGCAGAGACAGGACGTGAGAGGTCTTAGAGATGGTTCGTTGTGGAACCAAACTTATGATAAGGTTGTTGAGATGTTGGCTAGAACTGTTTGTACTATTTATGGTAGGATTGAAACTGTTTTTGGTGGTTTGGGTTTGAGAGTGAAAAAGGATGTGACTTTGAAGAGAGATCGTAGCAAGAATGAGGCGAGTAAGGCTGTTAACTCGAGGTCTGTTGCGGGGTTTAAGGATTCGAGGAGAAGTGAAGCGGAGGAGTTTACGCGTGCAGGGGATTTTAATTTTCCTTGTGGGACTAATCCTGGTAGGATGTTTATGGAATGTCTTGCTATGAATAGGACTATTGGTGATGATGATGATGAAGATGATGCTCGGATTACGTTTCCTTTGAGTACAGCTCGGATGATTCGGACTAGTAAGTTTGGATTTAAGAGCAGGTTAACTCAACATGCTTCAGCTTCAACGATTGGAGGTTCTGCTTTATCGTTGCACTATGCGAATGTTATGATTGTGGTAGAGAAGCTTCTCAAGTACCCTCATCTAATAGGCGAAGAAGCAAGAGACGATCTTTACCAAATGTTACCAACGAGTTTGAAAACAACGCTCAAAGCCAGTCTCAGATCATACTTGAAGAACATTTCGATCTACGACGCTCCTCTAGCTCACGATTGGAAAGAAACAATAGACGGTATACTGTCCTGGCTTGCACCTTTAGCTCACAACATGATCCGGTGGCAGAGCGAACGCAACTTCGAGCAGAATAATCAGATCGTGAAGCGAACAAACGTTCTTTTACTTCAGACACTTTACTTTGCTGATAGAGAGAAGACAGAAGCTGCGATTTGTAAACTTCTTGTCGGGTTAAACTACATTTGCCATTACGAACAGCAACAAAACGCGTTGCTGGATTGCGCGAGTAGCTTTGATTATGAAGATTGTTTCGAGTGGCAGAGCCAATGCCGTTCAGCTTACTTGGACTAACAATTGGGGTTTTTTTCTTTCTTTCTTCTTCTTCTTAGTGTTGTTTTATAGATACATTTGTTTATGATTCAACACAATGTGAATATCTAAATCTCTAGTTTCGTTTGCATACATAAAAATGATTGTGAAAATTGAAGTTCTATTGTTGATTACTCCAATCTTTAGTTAAACAATGTTAAGTGTATGTGTGTTATTGAAGAATTTGAGCTTTTTTGAAAGACATATAATAAAAGCCAACCCAACAAGAGGGAGGGATGTTAGGTGATGAAGGCATTTAATTAGAGAGATTGGGTAGAGAAAAGTGCATTGATGTTTTTTTTGAACCAAGCTTGACAATTTTGTGGTTGGGATTTTTTTTTTTTTTTTTTTGTGTCAAGTGTGAACGATGAGAATTTCATTTATTATTGCAATTGATTGTTGTTTTGTAGGAGGAATGAAAACGAAGTTAATAATATATATTGGGCCAAGTCTTATGGATTTTGGGCCTAACCTTATATCACTCGTTGGGTCTCTTCTTCATAGTTTTGGATATACATCAAACTTCTGAACTACTATTTCAAGAAAGTTTTGGTTTTATTAACCTTATAACTCGTATTCATATTTCTATTTTCTTTAGTGAAAATCAACTTGGTAAATTAGGAAAATTGGAAAAAGGCCTTCTATTAAACTAGAAGACAACAGTAGTTGATATACTTCAATTCCTCTGACCAACATATAATGTTAGACAAGCTTATTTATCGTTTGTGAATGACGTGATCACAAGCAAACAAGAATTTTGGATCGAATTGACTATATTTTGGATAATACGAAGAGACTATTTTATTTGCGTTTGTGTTCTTGTTTTTTCTTTCTTTCTTTTAGACCTAAAAAGGAGAGAAATTCCTTTCTTTAATTGCCAAAGATTTAGAGAGAAAGCAAAACTTCTATGTGATATATTCACATATTATACTGTTTTTTGTTTGGGTATAATCAAAAGGAGGTATGATTAAGATTAACACATGCCTCGGTCCCTTTTGTAGTTTGTTCCACTTCGAAAGGAATGAATAATACATCGAACATCTTTCTATTTGTGAGTTGATGGTGACACTACAAGAAACACGGCTTGTAACGTCATTTGTTTTAATACTTAACGTCGGTATTAAACAGACGTTAATATTTTACCGTCAGTTTTTAAAACGACTTAACATTGGCCGACGTAAACTTTTTTCGCTTCACTTAAAGAAATGACGCCATGTTTAACATCAAAAGATTAACGTCGGTTTCTTTTCAATTAGCATCGGTTTTCTTTCGACTTTAAATCTTCAGCTTTGGGTCAATTACACAACTGACGCAACTATACATTATTTATTTTCTGTTTATACTAATTATTTATTATTAAGAATCTAATATAATAAAGATATAACAAAATGTAACTTGATAAAATTTCTAAAAGCTCATCCATATGAATCATTACATTGATCAAATTCATATCTTTATACACAAAATGTAACTTTGTAATTCTGTCTTACAAAACATAAATCATACACACATGACATCTACCAGCTCAACAAATTCCAGTAGACCTTGTTGAGGATTTCTTCCAGCTATAAGCTCAAAGAGTAAAACCCAGGAGCCATAAACATCTCTTTGCTTGGTATATGTTCTTGTGGAAACGTATTCAGGATCGAGATAACCAAATGCTCCTCTGATGTTAGCAGCATGTTCCTCTAAATAGTCCAAAGACAACAACCTGAAGTAAAAAATAATCCACCATGACATGAGGAACTCGAGGTGGTTAATAGACTGAGATTTCAAGGAGAATGAAGATATATTTACCCGAGCTCTCATGGATTGATCCAACAAAATGTTAGGAAGATTTGATCTCTGTTGATTACAGGAGGAACATTCTAGCAAGAATTGAATAGAACATAGGTTCTGAAGTTGTGTTTTCTAGATATGCATTAAAAGGGTGGATTGTTTTAGAAAGTAAATTACCCCATCACGAAGATACTCTAGACCGCGTAATGCAATATATACTCTCAAATCCCAGTTCAGTGGTTCATGTTTTTCGCCTGTATCAAAAAAGCATTTTAGTATGTCTCAAATCTTTACGAATACTCATCAATTAGTGAAGTCTAAACCATCGACTCAATAAATATGATACAGAGAAACCAAATAGTTCAACATTGCATTGACAATTCATTTAGTGACAAGCAGATTATTTTAGTATGAACAAATAGGCAGTTGCTTACTGTATAAATGAGAAGCTAAGCTTCCTTTACTTATGTAGACGTATGTAAACACGTGTTAGTTTTTTTCTGCGCAATACCCAACCACGTTCACTAGGTCAAGGTGATGCAACCTTCCACAAAACATATCCTAAGAAAATAGGAGTGGATTAGTTTAGCAAGACACTGAAGCAGACAATAAGAGATATAAATGGCAACTTATGAATTGAGTAATAGAGATTTCAAAAAGCTTGAGTCCCCCGTAATGTTTCATGTTCTTTGGAAATGAATCATCAACTACAATCCATAGATATATCTTACCTCTGTGTGAAACTTTTGTTCGCCCTGTTTAGAATAAGTGGCAAGAACTTTCACAGCTACCGTCTCACTGGTAGACATTTGAGCTTTGTAGACAGGTCCAAATGCTCCTTGGCCAATCAAAGTAGTAAAGTTACAAGTTGCTTTTTGCAAATCCTTTTATCAACCACGGAAGAGACACTAGGGTTGTCCTGATTTACAACAATTGTTTCTTTACAATGTTCTTCACATTCTACAGATTAAGAAGGAAATATATGCTATTAGCACCATCCATTATGTTAAGGAAATGAAAAAATTAGTACTTTTTTACTGCATATTCATGTAGAAACAAAACTTACTCCTTTCTTCTAAGCTTCTCTTCTGTTATTTACAGCTTCCAGATTTGGAGGGGCGTCAATGTACTCTGCATCTTCCAATCCTCGTAGAAACCTAAAGTTTAGTACTAAACCTAAACTGTTAGTTTATTAAAACAAAGAAAAGCGTAAGTAAGTTGCAGATCCTTGAAGAAAGATTGAATGTGACCAGAATCTATCAAAGATTTAGAGATCGAAACAAATTGAAATTTCAACAAAAACTATCTCAAAACTCAAACTACTGAATCTCCCAAGATTTGAGATTCACCGCCGACGACACTATCCAAAAATTCAATCAAAAGTTCAAAGGTACCATTAAATTGGATTCACAATTCTTGTCAAAATCAATCTAATTCTATCAAAAATATAACGAAATTATAAGAAACATCAAACATACCAACAATCTCGATCCCGATTGAACGCAGAAAATAGAGGATTCCGCATCTTTCGATCTAAATCGGAAAAGAGAAAATTCGAACTTCCAAGGAAACGAAGGTGCGAATCGACGAAGAAGCTCCGATGAGCAGATAGAAACTCGAAGGTTCACTCATATTCTGAATTTTGCAGAAGAAATGGCGAAGAAGCGTTTAGGGTTACAAACCTGAACAATTTAACTATTTAATTGATCAACAGTTTTACAATAATTAATTAAGAATTTAAAGTTTATGTCGGTTATCAAAACGACGTTATATTGCTTCCCACTTAAAACTTTTAACGTCGGTTTACCTTATGACGTTAAAAAACTGACGCCTTCTACCTTGTTTTTTGTAGTGTGAGATGATATTCACATTCTGGAATCTTGAAGACTTTTCCACTCTTTGCAAATCATTTCGTCAGCTATATTGACTAGAAACGACCACTTTGGTCTTGATCTTGTGGCTCAAGCCATTATCATTTCTGCTTCATAGTAGCAATTATTTTTGATCAACTTAAATAGCCTATATATTTTTCTAAATAAGAATAATAATTTTTATTTTGAGATTAGTTACTTATGAAAAAATAACTAACAATAATATCTTCTTAATAACATAAATTTCCTAAGAGTCTAAAGTTATATATAGCTCAAAAGAAATTGTTAGAAACGATTTAGACTAGCACATCAGTTATATACTTATTTTACTTATGATATAACAAATCAATCTTTTTTCTTCTTCTTTATTTCTAAAAACTGTTTTACTCGAGATAATTTAGTAGGCGGCCGAGAAATATTTGGATTCTTGAAAGTTTAAAGTGAAGAGTGGTTATCTATTTGGACATGATTGTTTTCACTGTAGTTGTCCAGTAATTAGTATTTAAACTAATAATTAAGACTATCGGTATAAGATTGTCGGGTTCGAAGAAACAAATGTATAAGCACAAGTGGGTTTTGATTTTTGAATATATAATTGCAAGTTACGTAAACCCATCTCTCCCCTAGATTCACTTTCTGCAAATCCAATCCATTTCTACTTTAGTTTAATAGGCTCGAGGAATGTGCAGTTTTGTTTAATGTAATCTTCTTCTCTAGTCCAGGGGGCATGAATCTAACAATTTCTAATATGTTTTGATTTTTACTGGTAACTAATAAAGTCACTCATGTTTTTCAATAATTCTTTTGTTTGAAAAGTTTACAAAGTGGCAGACGACATTATCTACAACTTTTCAAGTTCCAGGATAATTTAAGAAAAGGTAATTACTTATCTAATTATAGTTTGTGGGGAATAAGTGAGAAATGCATAGCTCTAATATCTGCTAGAGAATTAACTTGATGTATAGTAGTAACGAAGAAATTTTATCTTCAAAACTCTATAATACCATATTCAGTTTCGTAATTTTTTGTTTTCTTTATCTTGTGGTTAGTTAAATAATGGTTGGAGCCACTTACTGTATTTTTTCTTATAAATTGACAACATGTCACGTTCTCACATAACTCATGCAGGATAGGTTTTGTAAATTGAACTCATAAGTTATGCTCAATTTAACCAGAGGAAGTGGGCTAGTAGTTCTATAGTCTGATAGAAGAGTCGTTCTGTTGGTGTAGGGTAGAAATCGATTTTCTCCGGTCTATTATTTATGGTCTATTTGAAAATCTGGAGGGAACTATATGTATGAGACATCCTTTCCCCATAAATTAGTTGTAAGTCCATCCATAGGACTGGAGATTTATCCTGAGTTATCAAAGAAAAAAAAATTATGTTCAATTTATGTGTTATGCGTTAACTTTTGTTCCAAAAAAGATTGTAAAAGACTATATAAACATAATCCTTCTTTAACCAAGACTTTTCCTAAAATTAACAAAATAATATGAGGAAAAAAATACAAATTACAAAAAAAGGCAAAAAAAAAATCACGAAATTATAAAATAAAATTTATTAATCAGAAAACCGTGGTTATGTGATGGTGGCTAATGTATACGTAAATCTGTTAGCAATAGCAGTATTGGTCTTTCTTCTATGTACATTACATCGTCTATAATTTGTTTTGTTTATTTTTTAAATGTGATGAAATTTCTTAGTCCATAACCTTTGATAACGTATTATACACTGTCTCTAGTATTAAAAGTTGTGTTCTTGACCCTACGAAATACTAAGATTCCATGCAATTTCGTGGGGTCCAAAATGAGAAAAGGAACAAGAAAAAACAGGATCTACAAATCATAGAGATAAGGCTTGTATATATAATAACAATTTCGAAATTTCATTTTGATATATTTGACATAAATCCTATACTATTATTTGGGGAGTACACTTTATAAGATACCCTTAACTAACCTTCTTTTTTGTAAAAAATTACTTAAGAATGCCATTAGAGATAAAATTTTAAAGAGTAAATTAATTCATCTCATTAAGGATAAACAAGTCAATTTATACAATTTAATTAATTTAATTTAATTATAAAAACGAAAAATACATTATTATTATTATTTTTAAATGACCAATCAAAATGAATATATAAGATTTGATATCTAACTTACCTTATTAATTTGTTATTAATCATTATATTTCACCTCTCATCTTTATATGATTCTATTATTGTGAAACAAATAAATCATCATATCATCCATATAATAATAAAAAATAGATTTTTTTTCCGCATATGCTATGATTTAAATTTTTAAAAACGAATATAAATTATTCAATTTATGAAAAAAAAAAAATTAACGAGTCAAAAATTTAGACTTGGATAATATATTTCTTTTAAACAAAAATAAATTCAACATTTATTATATGTACGGGTCAATATTTTTTTTATATCACAACATTTTTTATATGTACGGGTCACCTGAATAACGTGTCAGAATTTGAGTAATTATATTCAATTTCATATATATTTTTAAAATATATAATTTTATATACTACGATAAAATTTTAAATATTTAATTTAGAATGTTTAAAAATAGTTTTACTTGATATTTAAAAACAAATATCATCAATACTTAATATATAAAAAAATTAAAAATTTTACATACACTAATTTGGTTTTCTTAAAACAAATATATTTAAAAAATATTTATGATAGACGGTGGGTTAAATATAATGTATTATATGATGGAATGAGTTATGATCTTTATAACTATTTGAATATTTATATTTAAGTTCATACAATTATTTTTTAAAAATTCTTAATTTTATATTCTACAATAAAAAATAAAAAATATTTTAATTTGGAAAAATTTAAAAATAGTTTAATATAATATTTGAAAGAATATCATAAATATTTAATAAATCAAAAGATAAAAGTTATAAATACTCTAATTTCATTTTTCAAAGCATAAATATTTAAAATATTTATAGCAAACAACAGGTTAAATGTAATGTATTATATGATAAAAAGAGTTATGATCTTTATAACCGAAACCGTGTTAAGATTATATGATGAGATGAGTTAAATAAGGTTTGACACCTCTATATATTTAAAATTTTGGTTCTATAAGTATATATGAAAATAATGAATGATGGATTGTGCACACAATTGTTTCATTGGGATTCTAAAATAAAAATATAGGTACGCACAGGTTGAATTTAATCTTATTATATACCAAAATATGTTTATTATATACGCAATTTTTTTTCACTTACTACTAGCACATATCAAATACATACGATTTATTTTTAACCAAAAAAACGTAAAAAAACCGTAAAAATCGAACTGTAACTAAACCGAATTACATACGGTTTCTATATGGTTTCACTTTCTACAAAACGAAAAAAACGATACTAAACCGAAAAACCGTACCCCACCCCTAATATTTTCTCATCAAACAAAATAAAATAAAATAAAAAAAAATCCTTATATGTCATTGTATTATGTAAAGAATTATTAAAATTGTACTATAAAACAAATAATAATCCAACTTTATATAAATATTTAAAAATTAAAATTTCATCCGTGCTGTTCCAGCACGGGTTATGATCTAGTCTATGGTGTAAAAACAATGTTATAAAAATTTTGAATGTAGAAGAGAAGTTGAGATTACAACTTAGAGCAGTTGGTCAGCTTGCAACAATACTCTCCGGAGCTCACTTTCCATAGCTCTTAACACAACAGGCTTTCTCACAACTCCATTGATTCCAATCTGCGCACACTTGTCCCACATTTCTTCATCCAAACTAACCGTTGTCGCCACAATCAACGGCCAAGATCGACTCCTGATCCTCATGGCCACTTCATAGCCGTCCATCTCTACCATTTGAAGATCAAGCACCACCACTTGGAACGAAGTAGAAGACGAGGACGAGCCGGGAGCAACGGCGGAAAGGCAATCGAATCCAGATGATACCGCGGTTACATCGCATCCGAGTTTTTCTAAGAGTTTACGTGTAACTGCTCGGTTTGAATCATTGGTGTCTACCAATAAAACTTGTAAGCCACGTAATAGAGAATTCGAATGAGGGTGAGCGTGGTGGTCAGGAGCTGGTGACTCGCTGGATCCATGGACAGATATAGAGGGTCTGCGTCGAAACCGAAGGAGCAACGACATGGTCTCCGGTGAACCATCCGAGCCAGGGACCACCGAGATATTCCCATGAATCAACTGCACACATTATGAAAGAACTAAGAATAAGAACTAAGAACTTTAGAAAGAGATGTGTACGACGAAACTCACCTGCACAACTTTCTTACAAACACCAAAGCTTAAGTCTTGTCCTAACCCATAGCCGCCAGAGAATCTCACATCACCAACTTCTTGATCTCTTGAAGAAACAGAAGCAAGTGATTGAGAACTTGAATCATCATTCTCTACATTCATTTCAAATCTTATATACACATCTCCATCTGCTGAAGAAGCCGGTGATCGCCACGCAGCCCATCTTTGATCACTCCGGTCCAAGCTTCCTCTTTCTTTTAAAACCTTAAACATCAATGAAGAAGATCCTTCTTGACATTTTCGAGGCTTTACTAAACTACCAACCATATGAAGTATCACTTGAAAGACCCTTCTTTCGTCGCCTACTACATTATCCGGTAGAGACTTCTCCGCGTCAACCAAGAACTTGATTCCATTGCATAGACACAAACACCTCGCCATACAAGCTGCTTCATGGACCGTACGATGCAGACTAAACGGTTTCATCTCCGTTCCGAATCTACCGTCAGACACATCCATCGAGTCTCCAACCAAATTCGACATAACATTCCCCGTTTTCACCATTGTATCAACAATCATCTTCTGCTCATCACTCAACTTCTCGTCTTGAATCATCGACAAAAGCCCGAGTATAGAATGCATCGGACGCCTCATCCCCTCACTCATCGTTTTCTGAAACGCATTCCTCGCTTGACTCGCCCTCAATGCGTCCCTCTTCGCCATTTGCAACGCCCTGTTCTGTTCCGCCAGCTTCTCCCTCATAAGCTGAGACTCCTCCAAAACCGCTGCATGATCTAACGCAACCGTTACTTGATCCGCCACAACCTTAACAATCTCAATCTCCTGATAAGTCCAATCCCGAGGCTGCCCGCTCGGTAAAACACACACAAGTATCGCATAACTCGGCTCTCCATTAAAATCCGAAACACGAAGCATCGGCATTCTAATCGCAGCCACGGGACCAATCTCACTAACATCCCCACCGCTAGCTCGAGCTATCGAAGACTCCACACTCAACACATTCACTTCATCACTCTCCCTAATCCTCACAACATCCAAATCCTCCATAGAAACAGAACAACCACCATAACCACCTCTCCCTCTCAACTCATGAGTCAAATTCATCTCCGTTTTCCCATCATTCGGCATCCAAACCGCGCAATTCTGCAACCCCAAAGTCTTCGAAAGCTCAACCAAAGTAGTATAAAGAATCGTATGACGATCCAAAGACTTACGAATCTCTTGAGTAAGCATACGAACATGAAAGCCAGTCTCTTTCTTAATCAAAATCAAACCAACTTCACGACCAAGCTCATGAGCCTTCTTCTTAAGCATAAATTCTCTAACTTTAACTTTCAAAAGCAGAGGAATCAAAGTAATAAGCGTAATCGCAGTAGCACAAGAGACTAAAGCAGTCAACATCTTGAAAACAGTCAACGCCAACATCAATCTAAATGGATGAGCAGAGTAAGTCCAACCATGAAGAAGATGAGTCATACCACAAAGAACAATGAAGGCGATAAACTCAAAGAGAACCCATTTGAATGGAACATTGGAACAACTCACAAAGTAAAGTAACTCAATAGGGATTGAGAAATAAGCTACTGCGATTAAGAAATCGCTTACTCTTTGAGTTTCAAGAATATTCTCTGTAGTCCAGAAACTATTTCCTTCGTCTTCACAGTTACACCGTGGATAACCACCGCCGTTTATAGCTTTCGCCGGAGAAACAAACATCACCATTGATATTATCAAGAACCCATAAGCTATTTCTTTAACCATTTTCACATTAAACCCTGCAAGAAACAGAGTGAAAAATCAAAACTTTAACTTTGCAAATGTGAAAAAATGGAGATTTACAAAAACCCATTAAATTTGAGACAATTTGATTCAATGAAAAATGGTAAAAATCAAAACTTTAACTTTGCAAATGTGAAAAAATGGAGATTTACAAAAAAAAACCCATTGAAATTGAGACAATTTGATTCAATGAAAAATGGTAAAAATCAAAACTTTTAATTTGGGTTACCTGAAAGAGATGATTTTGGATCAAAGTGAAACAGTTCTTAGATCTCATCGACATGTGAAGTTCCAACGAAGCGACGTACGAGAATCTTCTAATTCTCTTCGACATTCCGATCTTTCTCTCATAGAAACTCAACGACGAAGAGAGTAAAAAAAACGAAAAGAGAAAGAGAGAGAGAGAGAACAAAAAAGCTGGTGGTGACAAAACCAGAAGACTCAAAAGAGAAAAGTGAAGAGATAGCGACAAATCTGAAACTACTTTGGATTCATATTAAAAAAACGTGTAAGTATGTTTGTTTATATATATGCCGGAGCTGATTAGTGCCGGAAAACCGCTATAAGCCGCCGTTGGAGAAAAAGCAAGGTTGATAAGTGTATGTATAGGTGTAAGTAAAGGTCGGAGCCGTTGGTTTTAGAGGAAGGTTTTGGCCTTTTGGGAGTTTTCTTTATTCTTTGATTTAGAAACTTATTAAAAGGTCCCACTTGTTCTTACATGAACCGAACTTAGACGGTCTTTTGATTTTTTTTTCACACTAAATAATTTGTTTTTTTTGTCACTAATTTGTGTATAAATTATTATATATTAAACTTTTGTTATTTCCTCAACTTGTATGTTTTTTTTGTCATAAGAAATGTAAATTATTACAAGCTGTAAATTAGAATAATTAATGGGTACTCTGAATTTTATCAAAATCCCGTATAATCATGAGAATGAAGAATAGAATAAAACTTTTTTTTTTGTATATATAAATAAATGAGTAAAATATTTATATAAGTGTTGGAAACCATCAAGCCACATGACATGAATCTAGGAACCTAAAAAATATTATATTTAGACCAAGGAGGCAAATAGATCATACTTATTTCTTAAATAAGCTTTGTTTATAAACAAAATAGCACAAAATCTAACGTAATCACTGTGTTTTGAACTGACACAAGTAGTCGAATATTGATGAGATTAGTCAATACTCTAATCAAATATCATAATTAGTCAAATTTAGAAAAAGAAGATATGTATAACGCCTTAATAAGATGTTGATTAATATGAGGGACCTACACAACTTTGATCTTTTTATTTTAATGTTTCCTTCACCATACATGAATCTAAAGAGTAATGAGTAATATATTTGAAACCACATTGGTCTATTTATTATTACTTTCCTAACTTTTAGTTTTATGGTTTTGACTCTAGAAACCATATTAGACCATAGAATCGCATGTGTTCTCTTATACAGTAAAACCTCTATAAATTAATACTCTATAAATTAATAACCTCTCTAAATTAATAAATTCTTCCGGTCCCGAATTGGGACTAATGTAAAATATGATGTAAATCGATAAATTAATAAGATAATAATTTTTTTAAAAAATCCCATGTAAACATATGGTCCCATTTAGATCATAAATTAATAATTATATAAATTTATCAATATATATATATATATATATATATTTAACTTAATATATATATGATATAAATTTATATATGTCATATATGAATTACTATGATATATATTTAAAATATTATATGTAAAATATTTAATGAAATATAACTCTATTATTCGAAAAAAGTTTGTGTTGTTTTTTAAACTTAATAATTGATTCTCTACTTGTAATTGGTTTTAGAAAGACATTGCTTATAAAGAAAAAATTTATTTTTAGATAGAAATTTTTTAAGAAATTACGAAATTAGTAAAATCTCTCTATAAATTAATAATTATTAATTTATCGATAAATTAATACCTCTCTAAATTAATAAAATTTCATGGTCCCAACATTATTAATTTATAGAGGTTTTACTGTATTGAAGTTCTAATCAGTATCTATCAATCATCTTCGAAGACATTATTGTTTAAAGGGTTATTTATTGATAGTACTATCTAAAGAAATTGAACCTAGAAGTTTTGAGACGACACGTTACCTATGTTTTTTTTTTTTCTGATTGAATCGTATGTTAAGTAATTTTCTTTAGCTATGCTTTTTGAATAAACTAAATAACGATTTCACCAAGTGTTGGTTTTGTCTATCCTAAATATATTCATGTGTTAGTCGCTTTCTTAGAAAAAATATTTTAAGTTACCAATGTTGTTGATCTTGAAACAGTGTCTTTGTAATCAGATCTCAGTTTTAGTCACCTTGAGTATCGACATAGGCCGGTAGTGCCAAATTTATGTTCTTGATTCCATAAAGGGTTTGGAGACATGTTTATAGATATGATGTCAAATATTTAACTTTTCGTAATTAACAAAGTGTTTCAAATCAAACTTTTAGTGAAGAAAAAGTGATATAAATAAATTACTAAGAATATCGTTATAAGTTTTTATAAGACCTTAGTATTCTTGAGTTTTGGAAGAAAAACACCTTCCATATGCAGGGCCGGCTCAAAAATATTTTGGACTTTGTGCGAGTTAAATTTTTATATAAGTGGTGATCAAGGAGGCAAATAGATCAAAAGTTTAGTATTGTACAAATAGAACGAGTACAAAGTCTCAACACACATATCTAACTTTTTTGCAACAATCTAGTAGAAAACACTTTAAAAGGTTCTCATGTGCTCTTCTTGCTCAATAAGTAGTCACCGACTGTCAAATGCAACTGTTCTCCTAGAACCACAGTCACAACAGGGAGCTTTTCAATGCAGCTTACACTTATCTGCCATACAAGATACAGTGAAGGATAAAGTACAACAATTTGGGATTTTTAAAGCTTAACTAACGAGTAACGATCAACATTTTGAGTGGCAAAACAAACCTTCCCATCTCCGGCTTGGAACTCTGATTTTAAATTTGAATGATCCCTCGATAACAAGTATGTTTGGAGCCGGGTTACGAATTCCACATCTCCTGAAAATCATAGATGAATGCACTCGTTAAAAAGAAAATCATCGGTGAGCATCCATTGTGATGAGATAATGACTCACCCGAGTACAAAGCGAGAAGAGCTTCTTCATTGAACTTTAAAGCTGGTCTAGCCAAACTTATCTTAAATGAAAATTTGGATTCTTTCAATTCAAAACTCTCATCAGATATTATGACCTGCCAAATAACAGACACTGTACAAATTTATTTTTCTACGGTGAAAAACTAAGCAATGGGAGAGAAGAGTGGTTGACTTACTACATATGGTGGCATCAAAGTAGAATGAAGCAAAGGGGAGCCTATTTTTTCCCTAATGTATTGTTCCTATCCAACAAACAAGAATGATAAGACAAAATTAAAGCTTCTGGTTTTAGGACATTTATATAATAATTAGTAATGAAACATTCTTAAAATTCAAGTAGAATTTAATCAACGTGATTTGAGTAAAAAACCAAAAGCAGTTAATTACCTGTGAGCATAGAACTTGTTGCACAACAGATTCATCCATGTCCAATGATTCAAAGTACACTTCCACAAAGTCTGTTGGTTCGAGACAAGACTTTTTTCGTAGTTTCTGGATCCTATTGACAATCTACAATATAGTAAAAGAAAGCTCATGAGCAAAACATCTGTTTTATGATAAAACTTTTATCTTTAATAAAATGTTTTTTTTTTTTTTTTTTTTTTTTTTTTTTTTTTGATAAACCCTATCGGCTATCCGGTCGGCCCCGGTAGGAACACACCGAGGTGCTACATAGTGGACTGGTCCACCGTGTTAACGGCTAGGCCCTTCGGGCTACCACTCTGCCTATCCCGAGTTTGGAATGCCTTCCGACTAAGTGCCAGGGGGTAGTCAGGCCGCCTGCATTTCTGACTACCAGGTAAACCAATTGGACCAAAGCCCTTTAATAAAATGTTTAGATACAGAAGAAAAAAAACCCATATAGCAAATATAAAACTTATAAGACAATGTATCGCTACAGTTACATCTATTTACCTCACGGGCAACACCTTCATTTTTCAAAGATTCATCTTCTCGAAGATCAAGAATCACCATAACTTCGCCTGCACCATGAACGAATGCGAATATTATATGTTTCCTCAACAATCGAGCATAGAGAAGTGGTATTTGATTAAGATTTGTACCATCTACAGCTGCATCAATCTCTGTATCTTTCAAACCATCTGGACGTTTGAAATCTCTGACAATCTAAACAACACATGAACAAAATGTGTTAGAAATTAATTCAGCTTCCTAAAATATATTTTTCATTCTGTCCCACAAGAAAAAACCATAGCATGAGAGACCTTAATATCTATTAGCTTTAGCGAGTGATTAGCAATAATGACTTCCTTAGTCTCCTTAAATCTTAAGATATCTTGATGAGACATTTTTTTTAACTTCCTGTGCAAGAAACCCCATAGACTTTCCAAGTCGCTTTCCCAAGACACTGAAGAAATGAAGAAGTAAAACTGTGTCATTCTACATTCTTTTGGAAACGCTAAAGCACATTGAGCTCAGTGGTTAAAAGCAAAACACAAGAAGAAAATAAAACTAACCTGTAATCTGGCACTGCTTTCAGTGATGCATACTTCAAAGTATCATTGCATATGACAAGAGATCTTACATTACGTTCATCCAAGACATACTACAATGCAAAATGAAACAAAATAAATCCGAATTATCAGTTCCTTGAATGTAAATAGTAAAAATAGTCCTGTAAAAACAGATTAACAAGTTACTATAATACCACAAACCAGTTTTAGTTTTCCAGTTATGTCATCCAAGAATTCTGCATCTGAATGGACTACAATCATTTCCCTGATACAACATGGATAAGTATGTATAAACTTTCTTTTTCAGTTTTAGGCTAACAAAGCACAAACTGAAAATGATTAAGTGCAATGCTTACTTTAAAGGAGTTTTCAAAGGTAGTTGTTCTTGACGCTTATCACTCTTACGATTACGAATGTTCCGAGCAAGTTCAATGATTTTTTTCATCTCTTTAACACTTTCCTCAATCCTCTCCCCTCTCTGTTTTAAACACAAGAAAAAAAAATATAAATAAGAAAAATTCAGACACTTTTCTATTACATATTTTATAGAGATATGGAACTATTACCGCTTCTTCCTTTTGTGGAAAACTACAGTAATGAATGCTTTCCTCAGAACCTTCACACACTTTCCGTAGATTCTGTCATTCTGATAGTGCCGGTCCGAGCATTTGTGAGGCCCTACACGAAAAATAAAATGAGGTCCAATATATTTATAAGTTTTAGGGCTAAAATTTTTTTTTGACCTATTTTTAGTAAATTATACAAAAATAATGATATTTTGAATATTATTACATTCAAATTTAATTGTTTGGACCCTATTTTATTTATTTTTTTCGAAAAAGGCTTTAGTTTCTACCAAATATTTTCATTTTATGGGCTTAATTCTTTTTTTTCTTCTAAAATTGGGCCTTTTTTACAAAAAAAAAAAAAAAAAAAACCTTAAAAAAAAAAAAAAATTTGTGGTGCCCCAAGCCACCGCTTGGGTGGCCTGTCCTCCGGGCCGGCTCTGCATTCTGATATAAAGTCTCTGTGAAGAACGGTGTAAAAGGAGTCATCACTTTGCAAGAAGTAAGGAGAACCTGAAATTCCATACACAATAATTAGTTATTACAAAGTATTCAAATGATGGTGACCATGCAAACAAAAGTATTTACCATACGTTGTATAGAGTTGAAAGAGCAGTGTGACAATCATCTTTTCCTGTACGGCCATTTAACCTCTTGCGGTTGAATCTAACATACATGTTAGTGAGATTGTCAAGGAACTCCAAGAGAAGAGGAACCACCTGAAAAAGAAATAAAAAGATGTGAAAAATACCACAAGATAGTGGTAACTTTTTTTTCTAATGCAAGATCATATTGAAAATGTAAGAAGCTTACGGTGTCAAGACGATATTCATCCATCTTTTCGTGGACATCCTTGACTAGAGTCTGCGTAGCTAGAACTGTCAAATGGTCATCCGACCATGGGCTAAGCCCAGTCCAAAATATTATGGACGGTCCGTGGTCAGCCCATAAATAAAATGGGTCATCTGGTCTAAAGACCAATTTTGTCCATGGACATAATGGGCTAGCCCATAGGACAATTGGTTGGCCCAGTTTCATTAAAAACTAGGGTTATTCAATTTGGGGGAAAAAATAAATCTCTTTTGTCTCCTTTACGGCTTCAGAATCGCCATCATCATCATCACCATCGTGTTGAGCAACAATCACGAACCGGAGCTCCGTTGTATAAGCAACAATCATCATCATCGTGTTGGTGTTTATCCTTTTTTGGTCCCAGGTGAATTTCTGAAACAATCTTAGCATTGAGTTTTGTTCATATTTCAGCTTGTGGGTTTGTCCATATTTCACTCGTTTTGTTCTTAGTGTAATGAATTGAGAATTATTAGAAGTGCTTTGTTGATTTTGAATGATTAGAAGTGCTTTGTTGCTATTACTAGGTTTATGAATTAACAACTGAATGGTTTTGACGAGTTTAGAGCTTGAAATTGTTGATGCCAACCACGTGTTTGATGAAATGCCTCACAGAATTGGTTTGTTTTTGATAAAAGCTTCACATAATTGGTAGTCTCTTCTATTAGCCTCTTGGTCTAATCATGTAAACTACAAAACTTTTAAGAACCAGTCAGTCTTTTGTAACTATGATAGGCTGCTCATGTTAGCTACTATGATAAGCTGCTCATGTTTATGCCATTTTATGTGTAGGACAGAACAAAATGAGTTTTCTCTGAGCATTGCTTGGTTTATGGATTCTATGCTATTGATGTTTTTTTTCAGTTTGGCTCAGTTTTGTTCTCAGACTTTTGTTTAGTGATTTAGAGAACTGATTTGATGATTCAAGAAATAAGGCAGCGTAGCTGAGTGAATCCACTGATCGAGAACGTTTGATGACTGTAAGGTTGATAGATTACTAGGAACAAAGGACCTACAAATTTCAATCTCAAGTCTCTTTGCATTCTGAACAAGGAACCGATATGCATTGTACCATGGAAGGAATACATCTTTGACCTAGCGAATGAGTACAAGAAAAGTTTAGACAAATAATAAATCTACTCATACAAGCAACCACCAAGATCACTTACAACACCAAGTACTCCTTCTTTTTTGAAGCGTAGTGGCTCAGCACGTACAACCGGAGAATTTATCAGGTACAATCTCACAGCATCCTGTCAAAGGTCGTAAAGTCGCTATGCGATGACATATAGAAGCAACATTAATCATATTATAGGGAAAAAAACTTACAGCTCCATACTCATCTATGACATCCAAAGGTGGTGGATAATTCTTTAATTTCTTACTCATCTTTTTTCCATCCTCAGCAAGCACGAGACCATTGCAAACCAGATTCTTAAATGCTGGTTTGTCAAATAATGCAGTAGATAACACCATAAGAGTATAAAACCTGTTGATACAAAACTAAAAGTTTAGTTATTAATTTCTTACTTAGAAGATATAAAATACGCTTATATTTCTCAAAAATCAAGATTTGGAATAACAAACCATCCACGAGTTTGATCAAGCCCTTCAGCAACAAAATCACCAGGAAAGTTCTTCTCAAATAGCTCCTTGTTTTCAAATGGATAATGGATATATGCATAAGGCATTGACCCACTCTCAAACCAACAATCAAATACCTGAAAAAGCATGATATAATCATAAGTATATAGACAATCACGGATTAATGATCAAATGGAAAAAAAAAAGAGAAATGGATCCATCTTACATCTTCGACACGACGGAGCACACCAAACTCATGACCGCGACTAGATGGGATTGTAATTTGATCAATATGGTGACGATGAAGATCAAAGACCTGCACCATAAGTTATCAGAAAAGCAAATGAGTAAGAAGAAGAAAACCAAACCCTCATAGGATGTCATAAACTTGAACAGAACATATTAAAAAGACTTCTAGAAACAATCAATCATATACCTTGACACCAGAGAGCTTTTCAAGCTTCTCAACTGAATCCATGACCACAACTTCTTCTCCATCATCGCTGATCCATATCGGAAGAGGCGTTCCCCAAAATCTACTTCGACTGACTGCCCAATCCCTCGCATTTTCAAGCCAATTGTGAAAACGTTTATCCTGAGTTGCAAGTTAACCAAGAAAATTACAATCATATAAGTAACTCATCTAATTAAACGAAATAAACTTGTAATAATATTATTGATTCTTTCTTCCACTAACCTTCACATATTTAGGTACCCATTTCGTCTTGTCATTGTTTTCTAACAATTTTTCTTTCAACTGCTCCACGCGTACAAACCTAACATGTTAAACACGAACAAACTTCAAAGTCCTAACCACTCATGAAAATTATAGTTAACATCAAATAGATAAAGTCCAAAACATGGAAAATCAAAATATCCTAAACTAAACAATTTGGTGAACAAAGGCCAAAAAAAAGATCTTAGCCAAAACTTATATGAAACATGAAGCATACCAACTAGGAACTGCTCTATATATGAGAGGAGTGTCTGATCGCCAGCAAAATGGATATGAGTGAGTAAAGCTCCCGGACTTAACAAGCCTACCTTTGGCCTGAAATAACCAAAAAGTGTTACTTACTATAAACCTATTTACTAGTCCAAAAGTGCACTAAGATCCTCTAAGAGACATGAAAGATCATTAGACATTAGTAATCACCTTCACGGCTTTAATTATATCCTTGTCTGCATCTTTGACATAAAGGCCACTGAAGTGAGTAATTCTCTCAGTAAACAACCCATCATCATCAACAGCCACAACTAGATTCTCTCCCTGCAAGAGAGGATAAAACCATATAGAAAATTTAACATAATGAGATAAAACGAGAGTCTAGTAGAGTAGGAGAATGTAGTGAAATATAACCTTGTTAATTATCTTATTTTCAAGACAAACACGATAGTCATCTTCACCAAAAGCAGGAGCACAATACCAGTACCACTATCATTAGTGACATAATCATCTGCTACTACTCGAAAAGCCACACTTGAGAAATCGTTAAAGTAATCAAACAAAGGTTCATATTTCTTCCCAACCAAGGAAGCTCCATTAAATTTTTCCAAAACTTGATAAGAATCCTCTTCATTCTCAGGCTTAGCACCTTTCACTTTCTTGGTATCACCAGCAGTTTCGGCCTTAGGCTTATCGATGGGAAGGGATAACAATCGAGATTCAGCAACAACGTAGACTTTTGCAGTGTTGTTGTTACGAACCTTAAGATAAACAAACTTTGCATTGACACACAATCCAAGATTGCTTGGAAGAGTCCATGGAGTAGTAGTCCATGCCACAAAAGCCGCGTTATCTTGATCATCAATAACAGGAAATGTAACCATTATTTCTGGATCAACCACATCCTTATAGTTCTGACCAGCTTCAAAATTAGATAGTGTGTCTTACAACCAGTACTATAAGGCATAACCTACTAAACAAATCGGATTTGAGTCAAATGAGTCAACAAGATTTCAAACCTAAGAGCAATTCAGACAAAAAAAAGGACCAAACCTTAAAGCCTCTATAGACAAGATTCTTATCAAAAAGCTGAGCAAAACCCCACCAAACACTCTCCATAAAAGACAAGTCTTATAATCATTACTGAAATCAATCCAACGACCAGTTCTAGTAATAATCTTTTCCCATTCCTCAACATAACGTGTCACAATACTTCGACACTCTTCATTGTACTTGTCAATACCCATCTCAAGAACTTGGTCTCTCCTCTTAATATTCAGTTTCCGATCAATCTCGTTCTCTACAGGGAGACCATGACAGTCCCAACCAAACCGTCGCGTTACATGTTTACCATTCATGGTTTGGTACCGAGTCACGATGTCTTTAATCGTACCGGCGAGGATGTGTCCGTAGTGAGGAAGACCGGTGGCGAAAGGAGGACCGTCGTAGAAGATGTACTCTTTGCAATTCTCAGTGAGTTTGAGCTGATTCTTGAAGGCATCGATTTGTGTCCAAAAGGAGAGAACTTTCTTTTCTTCCCGAGGGAAAGAGAACTCCTTTCCTTCGCAGACGTCTTCCATGGCGGAAACAGAGCACAATCTCACAGATTAAGGTTTCTTTAGATTCAAGAATCTAACTATATTGCCAACACCACGACATCTTGCTTTCCAAGCTATCTTTAAAGCTTGCTCTCAAAGATTTCTTTAAGAGACGTGAAAATGAGAGATTAATATTTATTGTTGACCCAAAAACAAATTAATACTTATTAATTTATTTATGATCTGTTAAAATTGAAAACATAGGTGGAAAAAGAAAAGAAAAATTAAACAATCTTTCCTTTTGTGGATTAAATAACTTAAAGTGAAAAGAAAAAGAAAAAAAAACAACATTTCCTCTTGATATTTTACTTAATAAAAAGAGCTATTTTTATCTAAAATTTTATGAAATAGGTAATTTAAAATCTCTATAATTTTTGCCAAATAGAAACATATCTATATATCCTTAATATTAATTATTATTAAATTTAGGAAAACAAACATTTAGCTAGTATAATTAAACACGCTTGTATTATTGTATATACAGTAGAACCTCTATAAATTAATACTCGATAAATTAATAAACAAGATAAATTAATAAATTTGGCCGGTCCCGAGTCGGGCCAATGTAAAATTTAATCAAATTCGATAAGATAATAAGATAATAAGTTTTTTAAAATCCCTATGTAAAAATATAGTCCCAATAATATCATAAATTAATAATTATGTAAATTTGCATATATATATATATATATATATATATATATATATATATATAATAGTTTTAGTGTTTTTCATAAAAATAGCCAAAAGTTTTTGTAAGTTTTCAAATTTTGAATATGCATAATTTTTGTTTTAATAGTCGTATAGGTTTTTAAAATACAATAATGAATGTCACTATTTGTGAATTTTAATTTTTGTATATCGTTTGTATATGGGAATTCTATAATCGTTGTTATTTTCAAAGAAATTATTTTCTTTTCTAAATATTAAGTGTTTAAGGCTAAAACTATAAAATTTATAACATCCAAAACATTAATTTTATTTAGATCACATTGTTTTAGCTCGTATTTTTCAAAAACAATTTTCACAATTGAAACAAAACTTTCTCTAAATTAATAAATATTAATTTACGTTATAAATTAATACTTATTAATTTATAGATAAATTAATATCACTATAAATTAATAAAATATCATGGTCCCAACATTATTAATTTATAGAGGTTTTACTGTAATCTTTTGTACAAGCATGTTTGATATCATTAATTTTGGTCAAAGCCAAAGATATATATCTCCCTGTAAGTAAAAGCAGCAATCAAATTAACTATTTACTTTTGTCCATAAATAATTTAGCATGTATGAAATATTGAAATATATGGTTAGTGTTTGTCAGCACAAGCTAGACTTCGTATTAAACCGCATTATATTTTTCTCGAGCAAAACTAAAAACTTTGTATATAATATAAGCAAAAAATGTCCACATAAATTGAGTTATCCATCAAAAATATATAATCTGAATGGTTAAAAATGGATCTGAATATCAATTTGGTTTTTAACTGATTTTACTTTTCTTACACTTGCGCAAGTTCAAAACAAAACCAGCCTACTAGACCCAATTAAAATCTTTAATTTGAGTTATATCTTTTAACACCCTAATTTCAAATTTCCATGATTTGTAAGCCCAGCAAATCATAATCTGGCTCTTGAAATTTACGAACCCAAAATCAAACCTCCAATGATATTGGGCCTTTTCACTGGTCATACTTTGTATCTCTGCTTCTATTTCTAAACTTCAACTTCAGTTCATAAAACCCAGATTTGATTTTCATTTACTCTCCTTTATTATTTATGCGTGTGTATATATATACTCTCCCATTTTTATAATCATAATTTGTTTTACAACATCAAGGCTTTGATTGATTCATATCAGCTCACATGGGTCTGCAAAAATGTAGTTTCTAAATTTGGATGGCTTTTCAAATTGATAATTTATTAACTTCACCAACCTATTATTAAAACGCATCTAATGTTTATCCCATTGCAGTTCGGATTCATTCACATATTACAAGTTTAAACTTACTTAATAAAAAAACGAAATACAAAATTCATCAACAATATTATACTAGAGAATGATAAATATTCTTGATAATACAAACCCAAATTTCATACAACGTTACTAATAATTAGAACATGTACGTAAACCTATTTAATCTATAGATCTACTATACACTAATATATAGTTATAGAAGAGACCAATAATCCTGAATTATATATACAAACCCAACTTCAGACAACGAAATATAATAAGAACACTTAAAAAAAAAAGGTTTAATATAACAAGAACATTACTCAAACGTATTTTGATCTATAATCAGTCAAACATATTTCCATCTATAATACATATTAAAAACATATATAAAACACCACAATAAACATCATGTATTATACGGTGATTAACTTTCAACTATATATATTGTATATGATTACGTGGATCGAACGTGAGGGAAACCGCTGCGATCTTAATGATGACGATGACCGCCGAGTCGAAGATCAAGATCAAGATCCTCATCTTGAGGCTGAGAACCTCTGGTCTCTGGTGGGCTCCGGTGAGTGTCATCATTTTCATTCATGGATCCGAGCCCTAAGCTCAAATTAAGATCATGAGAGTCCCCTTGAGAAAATCTCCCTCCTCCTCTCGATGATGATCCAAAGTATTGTGTGTTGTGGCTAGGGTTAATCGGTGGCTGAGACGACCCTTGGTGTTGGTATGAATCAATGGTCGGAAAATAAGGAGGCGGGTTGTTGTTATTATTAGGGTTTGAGAAGTTTATGGAGGAGGATGGATACTGAGACGGTAAAGGAAGAGAAAATGGAAATGAGTAAGAAGAAGAAGAGAAGGAGGGGTATCTTTCGCGTTCCCTGCGGTGGATGTTATTGTGACCACCGAGAGCTTGAGGATTCGTGAAACCTCTCTGGCAGATGTTGCAGTCATAAGTCCGGCGGTTATCTCCAGAGCCGGAGCCGGAGCCAGAGCCGGAATCAATCTGTTTGTTACGGTGGTTCATCTCTATCTTCTCCTTCTGACGTTGGGGTATCTCTCAATATTCAATGTTTTGAAATGAGTCTATGACGCTCCTTAAAACATACACTAGCGTATATATAAGCTAAGGAAAGAGTATGTGTGTGAACGGACACCAATTAGGGCTAATTGTTTTCTTAATGGTTAATATAATTATACAAAATATAAGCATTAAGCTTTACATAGGAGATATCGTTTGAGACTTGTTACACCAAAGAGGATAGGGCTGCTGGTTATAAAATGTTTATTATAAATTCATGGGTCGCAACATGAATTAATAATTAATTATCACTACAAAACACCATGCATGTAAGTTTATGATTATTTAGTTTGTTTATTTTACAACAATTTTCAGGGATATTGACAAAGGATATATATAATATCATATCAGTTTTTAATCAGAAAAGAAAACTAGTCAAGGTGTTATTTATAAGGCTTTGAGTGACTAGTTAGGCTAACTAGTTTCTCTCTATTTAATCTAATTTTTTATATATTTAAGAAAATAAGATCATACATATACATGCATATATATGCACACATAAACGATACAAAGATATAAAGTTGTACAAGTTATACGTTTGGATCGAGTGTAAAAATTGCCAGCTAAAGTTCTTTAACAAAATTGGAAAGCTAGTAGCTAGTGCAAAATTAAAAATTACTTCAATTTAATCCTTACGAATTACATTTTGAATGTGAACATGTAAAAACTATTAAAGAATAAAAGCAAAAATATTAAAAGAAGCATTCTTGTGGTTATCCTTGAAGTAGGTAAAACAATTAGAATATACAAATGGACTATATCTCATTAATGAAATAGCATTTATGAAATTTATTATGAGTTCTCCCAAAAACTGAAAATGATTTCGATGGTTTCTATACTTAGAAAAAATATGCTTTAACAAAAACAAAATAAACTTTCGAAAAGATATGACCGATACGATGAGCGATCGCCTGCTACTCTTACGATTGCTATAAGTAATATATTAATGTTTTCAATTTCAGAACCGACAAAATAATATTGTTTACCTGCATATATTTACTACTTTGACTACCATTTAACTTTATTATATATGTACCGAGACCGTACGTGTTTTATAATTTAAGTTTTGAGCCAGTATAACATATAGATGACATAGCATATATCACGATTTAGCTATTGCCATATCGTTATTTAGGATATATAATACATTAATTAGAACGTTTCAGGAATAACGATTGACTTCCTTTTGGTTTAGTCTCTTTTGAATGAGATCACGCAGATAACAGTGAAACAGTGATATGAATTTGATTTCGTGTTTAATCAGTTTAGCAACGTACGATACAAGATATAGTATCGCAATAAGCATTATCAGGTCCACTTGTGTATCAAACATGTATACCATTATGTATTTGGATAAAGAAATGTTGTTATTCATATTCTATAAGCTCAGAAGCATTAATGTTTGTTTGAGAACATGGGAGAATCCTACTGACTTAAGAATATTCACTAGTGAATTTATAACAGAGGAAACAACACTTTTGGACCACAGCTGTTCGTCGACTCTAGCCTCCTAAAGATACATTTATTTCTTTTATCAAATAGTAAAAAATTTTCATAGAACCCGCACGAACAAATATTCTGAATTGGCATGTGGATAAAATTTTTTTTGTCAAGGTAAGGTCTAAAATATTTAAGCTTGATAAAAAAACTTACGGAAAAATTATCCATCAAAAGCAATTTTGTTATTTGATTTTGAATATTTATATGTGTGTGTTTGGACTTGCGGGTTATATACATTAATAATAATAAAAATAGTAGTGTGTGTATACTTACATATATATAGAGATATTGATAATCTTCAAAATAGAAGTCACATGCAATCGAAACAATAAGAAATAACAAACTCATGAATGCCTGTAAATGTCACTGGCTATTTGCCTATTTTCGTCTATTTTCACACTTAAACATTCAATGCTGTATTCCATTTGCTCGTAATTTAACCAAGTCTCGGTAGGAATAATTGGGTATGGGGCTTGGTTTCTCTTCTTTCTGTATATAGAAGTTCGAGATTTAATGAATTGTTCCTAAAGTCAACAAATGAAATAAATGAAATGTTCCTAAAGTGGGTATGAGAAGAGAGAATATGGATGGGCTTTGAAGCCCCAAATTAAAGCCCAAACTAAATTTAGTTATGCCCAGAGAAGACTAGAGTGACAATGTGATGATACCTGGCTTTATGGTTTTTTAATTTTTTTCTACCCAACCCGATCTTCGCAGATTAGTACATAACATTCAAATTTCTGTGTTGAGTCTGAATGATACTGTGGTGATAATATAAGTAAAACCATCAGACTACAAACACTAGTTCAGGTAATCTGATTTCAGAAAATAATTATAAAATTCCAAGAACATCAATAATTAAAATCTAACTCAAATCAACTTTTAGATATTTAAGAGTTCCAAAGTGGGCATTTTTTAAAAAAAAAAATATTAATCAAATAGTATTTTTTTGCTGTGTGGGAAGAAAGTTGTAACGAAAATGAAAAGGGAAGAAGTTGAAAATTTTATAGAAAAATGTCAATATACCTAAAATCCAAAAATCAAAAAGTTTTGATCGGAAGTGGAATACCTAACGTCCTAGGCAATTCATCGACTAAAAACAAATTGTGTGTGACCAATTGTAGATCTTCATTTGTCAATATTCAACATTCTGATGGTAGTTACTCAAATGAAAATTGTATTATTTTTTTTGCTAAGAAAAATGAAAATTGTATTATACGATGTGTACTACGTATTTAGCAGTGATATATTTATACATAATAAATATAAAATATGTGAGTAATCGTAATGATACCCGGAAAGCAAATAACATATCTATGATTGTTCACAAAATTAAGAAAGAGTGCTTGATGACCAAATAAAATGTGATCTTCGCCTAACTTGTTACTTAATTTGTTCATCAACTTGTTACTTCATACTTCCTATGAAAGTATCACTTTTATTATTTATACTACTGGTATTATTATTACCATTATTTGCCCATGTCTATCTCCACTTTCACAAAAATAACAACAAAGATGAGCTTCTCCTTTACCTATTTGTCTTTACAATTTTCTCTGTGTTTTCATTTTCTTATGACGTCATCATTATCAAAGTCATTCAATGTGATGGCCTGAGCCTCACGTTGCAGCCCTAAGTGCCCCTTTTGGGCTCTTCTTTTCCATCTGCTCATTTATATATTTACTTGAATGTACAATGTCACACTATGGTATAAACTTTTGATTATTATTCATGACTTTAATTACTGACATGCACACATGCATACATTATGTGAAAAGATCTTGACATCACTTGACATTATGCACGGACTATATAGAGCTTTATTAGATATAGTCGAGTACGTAGAGATGGATGATAGATATATTATTATATAGTGGGTAATGTGCTTGTAGAAAGGCTGAAGGGAAATGCGAAGTGTGTGGAGTCCTGCGGGGATAGCTTTAGAGATATATACAATTTTTTTTTTTCATTCAATTACTTGCATTTGAATGTTATTAATTAGTTTCATTGATCTGTTATAATTCTTGTCTCAAAATGTATTTCTCTAATATATATGCTTTTTGTAACGATTTTCTTACAGCAAACGATTTTATAAGAGACTAGAAAATTAAGAAAATTTGGATTTAAGTCGTGCCAGAAAACTCAAATTTGAATCTGTGTTAATTTTTTTTGTACTAAGATGAGTTATCACTACTTATTAGTAACTTATTATATATGTAAAATAATGCGGAAACATTTTTCAAAATTCAATGAGTTTAAAACAATGGTATACTGATACTATTTCATTGTCGAGTCGATTTAAACTCCGCTTTTTTTTTATTTTGTTTGTCAGCAATATATAATATGCGGGATTGAATCTGGATAGAAAATTTTTCTAATGACTAACTCATTTGAGGATTATTGTACCATAACACTATTTTTTCTCTAGAAAAAATGTAGCATACACAATAGAAAAAATATTGTAAGAGCAATTACCTATAAGAAAATAAAGATGAGTCTAATTAGATGAAGAAATTAAGAATTAATAATATCGGTGCGTGCACATTTGAAGTGGCCGTTGTTTGAGTATGTGAAAAAGTGTTGAGGAAAAACTTTAATGCTTTTGAAGGAAAGTAATAATTTGGTGGAGGAGTTTGTACTGTTTAGTTATGTGTAACGCTTAGAACTGACGAAAACATAACTTACTATAAAAGGAAAGCTCATCATGCCATTCAAAACCCAGACATTGTCGGGAACATGCAAACCCTCAGGTTTTGGGGAATACCAAACTTCCAGCATATATACCCTCTTGTCCAAATCCAACTATGGTCACATACACATGTGTTGCGTATCTGTGTTGTGATACAAGATAATTTATTATCTTTCTATAGTTTTGTATGATTTGTTCCGTACGTGTTGACCTTTTCAAACCAAAAGAAAAGAAAAAAAGATTAAGGAAATATATGGCGATCGAGTAAATTATGACATGTTTACAGTTTTTGCACTCATGAAACTGAAATATGCTTTGGGAATTGTTTTCTAATAATGATTTGTTACCCTCAGTGCAATGATTCAGTCAAAAATATTTATATTTTTTGTACAATTAGTCAAGATCACACGCAAACACAGTTTCTGTTCAACCCAAGCAGATTTGAAAGAAATAGATACATTTCCATACAAAAGTCAAAAACTAATTACCAAAAACTGCTCTGAGCGTCGTTCAGAATTTGAAGAAACTGAAAGCCCTCCATTCGTATTCACAAACAATAGAAGTCTTGATTGGTTTTATATTTATATTTATGTTTGCTAATAATCAAAATTTTTTTGAATAAATTCTCTTAGTGCTTTTATTTTAAATCATTTGAAAATATGAATGTAAACACGAAACGCAGACAGAGCAAATGTTTTACTTGTGTTTTGGGTTTCTGACTTTAAGTTGTTATTTTTTTATAATAAAAATGCTTAAATACTAAATTTCTTAGTGTGAACAGAAAATTCATATACATTAAACGCGAAATCTAATACAAACATAGTTGCAAAAGCTCCTTATCAGAAAAAGACGACATACAGTAGTTGCAAATGATACATGTGAAGATAAGAAGATTCATACTCGATCCATTTATCAAAAAAAGAAAGAAAAGATTAATACTCCATTAAATAACGCTGTTTTTTTTTTTGTAAATGATTATTCTATTATATTAAAATTGTATATATATAGAAACAAATATATTGAAACCCTAAGTACACGAAGAACTACTAACCAAATGAAAATTTCTATTTAATATCTTCTACAAGACTATCTATTTTGACCTAAGAAGGTAGGTTAGATGTGTTAGTTCGAAGGAGATTAGGACAGTATCCAATTTGCTTGAGGATATATGATCAGCATATAGCAGCACTATGAAGTTCGAATTTAAAGTGTTGAAAATCAGAGCCTTGGTGGCTCCAAGCTAGATACTTTAAAAATAATGAATCGTTCCAAGGTCATTGATGTTTTTACTTTTTCATATATTTGCCTTTGTATAGGAATTCAGTTTGAAGTAGCTAGCTAATTTAGTTTCAACTAGATTCGACCTACAAGTTCCACTACCGTAGTAGCTATGAAAGATATGGATTGAACAAGTAGATTAAAAAAAAAGTCTAACAAACTCCCTCTCCAAAAGATCAACTATGTTTTCGGCTAAAAGATATAATCATTCCTTGTAGTTTTTATATATTATATTAAAAGGATTTAATATATCTATATTATATTAAAAGGATTTAATATATCTATATATTATATAGGTTGCACCAGTAAATATATATTAAATTTGCACACAAAAGATAAAAAGTAAAACATCAATCATCATAAAACAAAAACAAAAACAAAAACAAAATGCAAATTAAGTCTAACATATGAATTTATATATATATATCAATTTACATGAAACGTAAGGACTAAATATCTAGAAATTTAAAGACGATCGAGGAGATAAACAATTATTAAGGAGACAAAATTGTATCCATTGTCATACATAAAACGGTAGTAAGCGCATAAATATTATATAACATCTAACGCAAGCTTATTATAGCTTGTACTATAATCATATAATTAACTATAAGTTCTACTGATTAGCAAGCTTAGAGAATTTCATATGGATGAAACTAATTAACGTTACAGAAGCGGCATATCTTCTAGAATTGTGAACTTCGAATCCTTTATGGATAAAGTTCTACAGCTTTACCATCTAAGCGAAACCCAAACGGAGTTCTAGATCCAGATCTTGCTCTGATTCGTTGATCAAACCAATCTCAAGCTCCAAGCTAATGATATCATCATTCCTCAAGACCTTGCAAGCATCTTTACTGGTCAACCTTTTAGCCTCTCCAGCCTCCACTAAAAGAGAAGATTTCTCAGTCTCACAAGCGTTTTCTGGTGTATGTTTAGACTTGGGGCTCAAGGAACGGACCAAACCTGGCCTATATCTTGGTGAGGACGGAGGAGAAAGGGTTGGAAATAGGGTTAGAGGAGAATGATGAGGAGGAGGAGAGGTTGCCATGGAAGAGTAAGAGTAATTAGGGTTAGGGTAAGGAGGAGAAGGTGTTGAAGATGATGATGAAGACTGTTGTAATCTGAGTCTTGCCCTGTCTCTTCTGTGAACATTCATGTGGCCACCAAGTGCTTGAGCCGATCTGAATTCCCTTTTGCAGAAGCTACAAGTGTAGGATCTTGGTGGCCATGAAAACCCTAGAAGATACTCATGATCTTGTTGGTAATTATCATAATCTCCATAGCTCCATGGTGAAGTTCTTGCACGGCCATAGAAGCTGTTCCTCAACTCTATGTTGTTTGATCTCTCCATATGTGCAAGCTCTTTCTTTTTGGCTATGGTAGATTAAAAATTATGAAGATAATTAAGATAGTACTAGTAATGATTTGTGGCACATCAGTTTATAAAAGAAAAGTGTTTGTAAGATCTGAAAAGATGAACTCACTTTTTCCCCTGGGAAAAATCTAAGATCTATGTCTGTCTGTCTCTTAGAGAGAGAGAGAGAGATATAGAGATGAGAGAGGTGTGGGTGTGATGATAGGGTTGGGGCTCTTTGGTGTTAAGACTGTGAAAGAGACTGATTCTTGGACGCATTATCAAAGCCCCATCTTAGATTTAATAAAATGAAAATTAAAAGAAAAAGTTTAGTTAATGTTGGGGGCAAACATGTATTAAGCGAGCTTTTCCATGATTTGATTTATGGAGATGACACAAGTTAATTAAGTACATCCCTACCAAAAAAAAAAAAAAAAAAGTTAATGAAGTACATCTATTGCTTTCATTAAATGATATTACACCTTTAAATTTCGTGAAAATCAACAACCAATTTTGTCTTCAGATACCATTCAGGGTTTTAATTTTATGCTATCATGATTCATAGATTTTATTAGTGTTATCTATAAAACACATTCACAATTTAAACGAGACCTAAACGATGTATATATTAAAGAATAGCATATTTGTAAGAAGGATTTAAAGTTAATATTGAGAGTTTGAAAGGCTACAGTTCACATCAATTTATAGAGAATACTCCCTATTTAATTCTTAAACAATTTGTCACAATGAAAAAAAAATCCACTATAAAAAATATCAAAACATAAAATATGATTTTCTTGAAAAGGGGGAAATATAAATAATAGAAGGGTATGGGAAAAAGAAGTAGAAATGAGTGTAGGATTTAACTTTACAAAACAAAGAAAAAAGTCTCAATTGTCTTGCAACCATGTTATCTAAAACAAGCACTATGAATTTGTATATTCATTCTGCAATTTGTTTGGTACTGCGATCAAAACATGATGAAATCATAGATTATCAATCTTTAGTAACACCAACAAATATGACATTTCACAGCAGAAGATATCATGAGAAAACACGATTTTTAATCATAATTTTATCTTAAAATAGTTAATATATGTTATTATTTTAAATGGTAGAGAGGAAAGAGTGATGGGTGAATATGTAAAAGATGGGAGTGTATAAATAAGGAAAACCTCGGCGAGCAAAAGGACATATTATATCAAAAGTTTTATACCAAAAATGGAAAAGTGGATGTTCCTTTCTCCCATTTTATAATATATTTTATAATAGAATTTATCATCTATATATTAATCCTCGCTATAAAGCTTTCCTCGTGAGCCATATCTTGACATTTGTTTGTTAGCAAATCAAAGATAACGACACACATTATTATTAGACTTAGGTCTTTAGATTTTGCCTTTCCTCCAAAGTTTTATATAATACTATATAGATTCATACATTGTCCCTTTCTTTTGTTTTATATAGTTAATATATCACCATGTGTTCTGGACCAATTCCTTTTAACATGTGTTGTGTTTGCTCAAATTGTGACCCTTTACTTGGCATTGATTTCATCGTTGGCACATATCAATGTTTAATTCTCAGTCGTTTAATTATATATCTGGAACATCCTATGGGAGGAAATTAAATGTTTGAACTTGCTAATTTTTCCATTTTATGGTTCTATATAGAGGAATCTGTGAGGTATAATATTGAAGGATCTAAAGAAATTTGAGGGACACATTAGATGAATTGGGGAAACGATTCCCATTGATATCAAGAGATTTGTTTTACAATATATCCAACCCGAGTCGACCCGATCTTGTGTTTAATTCCATTAGTGTTCTAAAATTTAAAATCGCATAAATCCGGGAGGGCAAAAAAAAATTGTTTTAGAAAATTCTTTAGTAATTTTAATTGAAAATATGGTTTACATATCGTTTAATCTCGTGAAATAGAATGTAAGAATTCTAGTATGTTTGAACTATTTAGATAAAAGATTTACAAGGGATTGTTCAAACTTCAAAGGCCACAATGCAAATAGTTTGAAGGAACCGTACAAATACAATTACAAAGCTCAACATTCACCAACGAGGAAAGTCTCATTTATTACACATCCAACTGCTTCATATATATCCACCCAATATAAACACATTTCACAATTGTCGAAACACAAGAAATTATCTAACCATCTCGCTACTTTTTTTCACTCCTCACTCGTTGAAATCCAACTTTTGTTTATTACACTTCACCGATTGAAAAAAAGAAAAACAACTTTGAGAAAAAACAAATAAATTCAGCTGAGATTAATATTCGTATAAATCTTGTTTTATCTTCTACATATGCTACTCAAGACAAAAATAAATATTTTACCGTATAAAATTAAAATAATTCATAAAAATATGACCTCCTAGGAAAAGTGCCTTGATTAGTTATTCACGTCAGGAAGAGTATCTACTGAATAAATTAATATAACATACTCATACAGAATGATTAGACTCAATGTATTGCGGAATTAACCAATGGATTTCTTAAGGTCCTCTGACTTGCTTTATACACTTTTTTTTTGTCAAGATCCTTAAATTTGTGATATTTATAACCACGCAAATATAATATTGTTCTTCTGAGTCGCAAAATGTCTCTCAACTCAATGTTATATCAAAGTTATTCACATGTGTAACCTGTTTGCATGACACATGCCACATATAGTTGGACGGATTTTGGGCTGTTTGACACATACACTTAATTTTGTGGTAGATGGTTAATTAGTATGTATGGTATGACGCTAATCTATTGAGAATTAGTAATAGTAGGTTGTAAAGGACGATCATGAACATGTTCAGGTGGATAATTGACGTTGTCTTTTACGGATTTTCAATGAGCCGACTAATTAAAACTAATGAAAAAATGGCACTATATATATATACATGATTTTTTGCTATAACATTTTAAATTAATATAAATAATTAAATCCAACAGCCAATAGAATAAACCAAATGACAATCAAAACAAAATAAACAAACTATTTTACAATCAAACAATAATCGATTTACTATGAGTCTTCTGAAAAAAAGAGAAAAGAAATGGAATTTTTAATCAAATAAATAAATGAATATTCTACGATATTAAAACAAAATAAATGATTTGTCACTAATCTTTTGCAAAAAGAAAATGGACTTCTTAACCCAATAGCTTAGTAATGATCGCCTATCCATAGTAAAATTTAAAATTGCATGACTCTTTCTAGTTTCTACAACATCCAACTAAAAAGAAATGTCACACCACCAGTTTAAAAAAGTATAGCAAAAGAAAAAGTTCCCCGTATATTTCCAATATTTTTCGGTTCACTATCATTTATTTTCATTATCAACAATTTATAATAACCTGAAATGATCTGTTACCTGGTGAATGAAGTGAAAAAGATGGGAAATTTTAGGACAGAGAGAGTGGAATTAGACAAAAGATTCTGCCAAAATTAGAAGATGATATCTCTCATCATCGATAGGACACATCCAACGGCTGAAAGAGAAGGTCTAAAAGTCTAGTGGCCTCTCTTTTTTTCTACTTTGTTTCTTATTATTATTTCTCTTTTTATTACCATTTGTGAATAAAGGGCCTTGATTTTTTTATAGCTTCCTTGATCGAAGTTGCAGAGTTTACTCGCAGTAGTTCAACACTTTATTGTTTATTGCATTAGCCCCTTCCCTACGTGTTTTACATCATCACTAATTTTTTTACTCTAAATAACTATTATTCTTACTTTATTATAAGACTCATTATTGTTTATTTTCTTTCAAAATTGTGATAGTCTCTTTCGTGAATTTGAATTGAGAAGGTTTTGTTTTTGATCATTTTCAACATATATTTGGCTTTCGTGGTAAAACTTGTGATTGGCTGTCACATTTCACGTCAAGTTTTTTTTTTTTTTTTGTTTATAAAATATTTTTTCTGTTCTTTTCTTTGTCTTTCTTTATAGGTTTGGTTGAAACCTAAAGAAGTCAAATGGAACTATACAAATTAGAATGGTCGTACCAACATACTGGTTGAAGTGGAACCGAATAGAAGTATCAATTTTGTTCGGTAACCAATACAGAAAAAAAGAACATGATAGATCTATTTTGAGCTAAAGAGTTTTATTTATTTATTTTATATATCCTAAAACATATATAGTCCTTCTGTTACAAAATAGAATATATTTAAGGTAAAAGCATGTATGTTAAGATAATTTGTTTTCCATAAAAAAGTATCATTTATATTCATTAAAAAAAAAAAGAATTCAACCAATCATTAAAAAAAAGCAGAATATAAATTATCACAAGTGATTAAATACATTTAAATTTATATAGAAATTTGCAAAACATTTTATTTAAAATATTAAACAAAACAAATTTCTAAAACATCCTATATAATGAAAGAGAGGAGTGCTAAATTAAACCAAATCTATATAAACAAACATATATAATCTCTTTATTTGTTAAAAGTTGACTATAATCAAAATCAAACATAATAGACTATTGGTAAAAATACAGTATCATGATTCATGAGTCTAATGACTATATATAGTTTTCGGTAAAATACAGTATTATTTCCCGTCATAGTCGTAACAAATTTTTACTTTCTCTCCTACATGAATTCGAGTGGTGTGGTGTCGCGTGACTTTGATACAAACCATTATGGTACGTCCAATGGTACGTGTCTTTGTCAACTGATTGAAAATCATGCGCTATAACTTATATAATCATATTAAAATCATGGGCTCAGCTAGTGATGCCTATTGGGCTTGGGCTCATAGATTGTCACCAAAATTTGTGGGCTCAATATCAACTTTTATTTTTTGGGCAAATTTGTTGGCTCAACATCAACATGTAACGAAATTTAAAGTATATTTCACCTTCAATATTAAGGTTTTCTGACTATCTCACCTACCAATTTTATTCCATTCCATGGACAAATTAGCAAACAAAAACAGTTTCTCATGTCCTTGATTCTCAATTTAACAGCCAAATAGATATTAAATGTCATTCGTATACCAAAATTTTTAATTATCGAATCTCTAAATTCAAATATATTATTAAGAT